CTTTAGCGAAATTCCTCAGCATTTCATGTGTAGGATAAAGGCCACGATCAGTAAGCTTATTAATCCATTTTATAAGCTCTTTGGATTGTTGGTTGTTGAGAACTCGCTGACTTTCATATTGGTCTTCTTGTGACCCTTGTACGCCACGGTGCCGTTTCGATAGTGTAGGTCGGCTTACACCAAACTTTTCAGCAATTTTAGTATAATTTATCTTCTCTCCTGGCTCCAACGAGTCGATATAGCCTAAAGCCGCTTCAATTGAGCTCATGATGAAAGAGTTGTAGTGATTTGAAATCTATGCCTAAAAGTCGGTGTATAGAAAAAACGTTCGTCAGGTGGGACCGTTCGTCAGGTGATCACCTACGGTATGCGGCCGTTTCGGAACTCAACAGTCTCAGACGATGATTAGGATTTCGTGGCTGTCACTGACCTTTTCGAGCAATTCTAGCCTCGAGGTATATGTGGAAAGTATCATAGGTAGTGGCTGGACAAGTCTTTTCATAATAGCACAGTCCATGACGCGCTTTTCTTACTCCCCAGTGCTCGCTCTCGTTAATTCTTCTGGTCCCGAGCCCATAACCCGCCATGGGAAAGAAACCCAGCGAATGTGGAAGCTATTGGAACGATATTGACTAAAATTTGTAGTGACGGGCCATAATTCCGTTTGTTGAACTTTCGATTGAGCATGAAACTAGAATGTCTCTCGAAATATAGTGTGACCCCTACATGACCTAACGGGTTGTTCTGGCTGGCACCGGAAATATACATCTAAGTTTCATATACCTCTAACTCCCGACGGTATCCTACGGGAGCTTCCCCGCAATATGGTCTCATTATTATGCTATACACGTAGCTGTACGATTTCAGATGATTTACGGTTGATTCAGAACAAATCCTTGGCAGGCTGTTCCACGGGTAAGGATTTCACTGGCTTTGCCGAAGTCGCACCGGTATACTAATGGGACGTACCATTGACTCTGAACAATGAAACAATCCTCACAGTTTCACCAAGAGATAGGAAAGATATGTTGAAAATAAGTTACATCTGAAGTGCAGAGGTGGCTGTCCAATGTAGTAATTCGATCATGAACGCCAATACCAATCCAACAGCGAAGAGTAGACACATCCTCGGATTCTCGAATCGATTACTGCAATCTACGCAATATCTTGACATCAGAACCACAAACCTATCATTTACTATTATGGTAGCTCCCTGCTTAACTTTCGTTGAGCTATGCCCCTTCGCATGTGATGACCGTTGGGACAACGCAACGCTTTCCTCATATTCTCACTTGATATGTATGGATATACAAGTCTCTGATCCTTAGTTTCCAAGTTGAGCTGTAATGCTGCATCTAGGCAGTTCCATTATTATATTTTGACGTAGGCTCGGATACAGTTTCCTTGAACATATCATATCCTACAATCATGAGACTTACGCATACGTTCGAGGGCTGGCTATAAATTCAAGCATTCCTATCCTTCACCTGCTAGTCTTTTTCTTTTCTCCAATTCATCTTGACTCTTCATCAAGCACAAAATCAATATCAGATATCTCCAATCATAACCAACCATGTCTTCTCTTGAGAGCACTGATCTGGCCGGTCTGACTACCGATGACAAGGACTTGTACCTTTTCTACCAAAGGTCCGGCTATATCGTCGAAGCCTTCTCGGAGGAAGGAGATCCTCCTTCGCAGCAATCTGTGCAGGTTGCCTCTGATGCGCAGAGTGGCGGTTCCCCTTTGACTGCATACTTCGTCAAAGAGGACATGAACTTCGACAAGCGTTCCACTGTATGAGCCAGGCAGGTCATTCTCTGGTAAATCTACTAATAATGATTCTCCTTAGATCCACATGGTCTATATTAACAAGGACGGCACCCTGGTTGAGAAAGTGAGACGGGTTTCCTCGGAAAAGTGGGAAGACGCCCCCAAGCCTCCGGGGCATGCTGCAGAACAGTCGCGGATCGTTAGTGGCGTGTCCCAGTCGGGCATAGGCCCGGAAAACCAATCTGGAACCCAGTTGGTATTCTTCGTAAGGTAGGGACTGCACGCCCCTTATCATGCGACCAGTACTCACAAGCGAGTAGCAGCCAAGAGGGGAACAAATCTCCCATCACTGAGCTTCGTCGGGACAACAAAGGCAATTTCCGTCTTGAGCATGTCCTTTCAGATGAGCCTCTGTCGCTTCCGGGCACTCATCTCGCATGTATCGTCACTCGTGATGCCGTCGATCTGTATCACCAGGACCATGACAAGAACATCAAGCGGTGGAGATATGACGCCCGCGAGCGCAGACGTTGGGAGAGTAAGTCGGCAGCATTCTTTGACCACACTTACTTTCTTTAATTTTCGGCTAAATCTTTTGTCTAGACAAGGGTATTGTTTTGGAGGGCAAGGGAGTCATGGTCCGGACTCCCTTGGCCGCGGTCAATTATGATGGCAAGAACCACATCCTCTATGCCGATGACCAGATGAGACTCCGGGACTTTGTGGACGGTAACACTATTGACGTTGCACGAAGAGTCTATGGAGATGCTGGAATCAATGCCATGGTGTACCGCAACCAGATCATCTTGTTCTATAAGTTGGTGGAACCTGAGGGAGCCATTGGAAAGGCGACATTCACTGAGGGCAAATGGAAGGAGGAGGGTGTCTTCATCAAAGCCTGAAGGCAAAAGGAGAAGAGTGCTTTGAGCGAGTGGTGTTAACGTTAGCTCTTGAGCTTTTTGCTTCTCAGTAGTGACATGCTTATGCTTTTGGGTGCCGCCGCCTTTTGACCTTTCATGTACCTTCGGCTTCAAAAGTGTTCACTGTTCAGATTGAAACTGTTTTACAAACTAATAGTGAATTCAACTCAGTTTTGATTATTTGCGGATGGGAGCTACTGTACTCAATCCTCGAAAGTGTTGCATATAGTCAAAGCGTACCTGGGAGACGATGTATATTGCCAAAATCACCGTGCTGGCAAACTACTACCAGTGGTTGCAATTCTTACGGAGATGTGGGTAAACGATTTCGTATAGAGACTTCCTACCGATATGTGTAGCTGTGGATTTGAATATCTTGGGCTTTGAAATTACCTGGGATCTTCAAAAGCGCAACTGATATTGTCAAGAGCCAAAGCATGGGTCAAGCTTCCGTCAGCTGAAAGTGGGGGTTTGCTTTAGCCATAAATTGGAGATGAAGCCTTCGTTACCATCCACAGCTTGCGAGAGAATACCCTGGCCCGTATAAATATCGAGGTGGGTAACTGATTCATGATAGCCTAGAACTTTTAGTAGGTTCAGGAAAAGAAAAGGCTCAGGTCTATCTTAGAGCCTCCATCTCATGTCAGAGAAGGCACGACATACATCATTCTACCTCTAGGGTTTGTCTATACCGCGGCTTATATGTATCTGAGCTTTGACACAGGTAGGCATATACCATGGAATGCTGCTTCTACCAGAGGCCATCACCATGTAAATTACGGTCAGGCCTGTTTGTCCCTAGGTACAGCAACAGCCAGATACCAATGAAAGGCATCGGGGTCAGGGCTTGTGTCCTCACTCGGTATGGAATCCAATTGAGTCTAGAAGTGAGATCATCTTGGAGCTGATGGCGACGGAATTGCTTCCGGTTCTGTCATACATGATAGATATATAGTTTCAACCAAGTTGTGTCTTGTCACCAGACCTGATGTCACCCCTCCATTGAAAATAAACAAACAAACAAATCAATCAAAATCAAAATCTCATTGCCCCACTATCTTCACTACCCAACGACTAATAATAGTCCATCTTCATCACTCTCTCACCTTTTGGGCCTCGGGGCTTCAATGGCAACCAATGATCTACGATCTACGAGTACCTTTCGAGAACCATGAAAGTGCTATGGAAGCAACTTAATTGCAATTTGGCCTCATACAGTGGCAAACATAATGGGAAAGCAAACTATTTTTGATTTTTTTCTTTTTTCTTTTTATTTTTTATTTATTTTTTTTTCTTTTTTGCTGCGCATGATCCAACTTAAAGTCTCTCAGGGTTGGTACGCTCATCAACGGGGTTCATTTGCCCCCGGGCCCACTCCATGACCAAGCACACAACGCTTTCCATCTGGCTCTTGGTATTGTCGGCGTGGATGACAATCCGAATCCGATTTTTGTCTTTGGCTACCAGGGGAAAATTCACGGGATTCACCCAATACTTGGCCTGGTGTAGAAACTGCGCCAATTTCCTCGCCATTCCTGGCCGCACCACAAGTGCAACTATGGGAGCTAGGAAGGGCTCAGATCGCCAGGTTCTTTCGGTCGGAAGACTGAAGATACCCTCTTTCTTTCCATAGTCCCACCAGGGGCTCATCGTCAAAGTCTGGTAGAAGTACCGCAAATTTTCCTGCAGTTGACATCGGCGCTGTTTCTATCAGGTCAGCCGATTGGAGTCCAGACAAAGATAGGAGGTTACACGAACCCTTTCGCCTTCCAGACTGGCGAGCAAACTATAGCCAGCCTTAACGGCTGACACGGTAAGAAAGCTTGGAGCCGTGCTGAAAATGACACTCCGGGCGTAGTTGAGGAGTGCAAACTTGATTGTCTCGCTGGCCAATACTACCGCTATTTTTATTCTGTTAGACAATATCTAAAACGAGAGGTTTGGGAGCGAGTAGCTCCTACCGCCTGTGGATCCCAGCCCTTTACCGCAAGTCTGCAGCCGGATGGCAAATTCATCCTCCAGCCCATAATGGCAAATGACTCCCGAGCCATTCGGTCCCACGACTCCGTTGGAGTGGGCCTCGTCGATTGCGAGAATATAATTGCCATGCGGAAGAGCATCATGGGCAACTTTGGCTATCTCAATAACTGGAGCCATGTCGCCATCAACGCTGTAAAAAGACTCCATTGATATAAAAACCACACATTTCCCTTCAGAAATGGCAGCGTTCGTTTTCTGGATGTCTCTCAGACAGTCCCGGAGTGACACACAATCATTATGCCGGAATGAGGCGGTCGTTGCTCGCCCACGCCTCATGCCATCATGAATGCTTGCGTGTATGTACTCATCATAAACGATGAAGTCTCCGCGCTGCGGGATGGTTGCCCAAATGGCTACGTTGGCTTCATAACCCGAGCCAAAGAACATGGCTGACTCAGCGCCGTGGAACCGAGCTAAGTCGCGCTCAATGTCTTCTAGGTACTGCTTTGTACCATCCAGGATGCGTGAAGAAGTGCTCCCAACAGTGAAGTCAGGGTGCCTTTCAAGCTCTCGCAAGAAGGCTGCAGACAAAGCACCTGAGGATGATAAAGAGAGGCTGTCGTTCGAGCTGAAGTCTGTCATCCCCTTCAGAGTAGCCGCGGAGGGGGGTTCAATAAGTCGACCTTCCTGACGGCGGTTGTCCAGCATAGCTTCGAGCTTATGACAGAGAATATCGATACCTGTAGCCATCTTGTCGACGTTTAATGCTAGTTTTACATGTCCAGTTCCCAGGAGCCTTTCTACCTTTATATATTGTTGAGCTTCCTCACTGGCTCTGTTACAACAGGCATGTATGACTACAATGGCTTCATATGTCCCTTCTATACCGACGTTCTAAACTTCTACATCAGTAGAATCTGACGGACCAAACATTTGTAAGGCATGTGTCTGGTGAAATGCCAATGCCAAACTTCAACGTGCAGGAATATAGTCGTTCATTTGTATCGGTAGCCTTGTAAGTTCCACCTCCCTTGTATCAAAATATCTCTTCCGAGTGGCTTTGCGCATAAGACCTCAGTGTACCAGCATTTGCCAGCGCTAGTAAGAGTGCAACAAGATTATAGCAGGCTTTCGAACCATTCTGAACACGAGTCCACCCAGGTAACAGCCGCCTGGGTGGTGGTCTGGTACAGGTTGGGAGAGATTTTCTCTATCTGATACAGAGAGATGCAAGCTCTCTACACGCAATATCGGACAGGTTATGGCTTAAACCATGCCACTCGTGAGGTGTAACCTTTTGGCAGAACTGTATACCATCATACTAAGGTTCTCGGAGTCTACTTCTGCTGCCTCGGGATACTTAAAGTGTCATGAATAGGCCTAGAAGAAAAGGATTTTAGTTAGCAGGATGGATGTGGGTTCTAGACCTTCAAGAACCGGTTTGACTGATCACACTGAGAGACATTGGCGGCCAAAGTGTATGATCAGCTTCCAACCGCCGTATGTTGACGTTTGTGGAGGCAAAACTTACAAACTAGAAATGATGATTTCTCCTTACTTTGAAGGTTTGACTACCAATGCTGCAAACCTTGATTGCGTGTGATGCTGATAAAATCTAAGACTATCTGCAGTGTCATACTAGACGCGGTCCTGTGGTTATGGTGAGGCTTCGAAAGACTGGATCCCTGTGCTACAGATTTGGACATGATACCAGTGAATAACTCAAATCCATCTGGCTACTGTACTTGGAAGACTTAATGACGACATCAGCGTTCGAATCAAGTTATGGAGACCATGTAGCAAGAGGTCCCCAAGGATAGTCTGACAGCTTTGGCATTGTGAAGTATAGCCACCAGCGATCTCTCGGCGAGGCCAGAGCATAAAAAGATCAGGTGGCTGGCCTCCTTCGCGCTATATACGACCTATTCAAGCACCTTGCATTATCAACTTTTATAATTAGCGGCGTTCAGCAAAATATTTGGCTTCCTTGGACTTAGGTCTCATGATTTATCATGAAATGGATTGTTTATTCTCTTGCCCTACAGACCTCCGGGGCAATCGCTGTTATTGATGGACCGTCATCATCACATACGGTGAGTTGGTTGTTGAGTCATTCAAGGTAGCTCAGATGCTAGATGGGGCAAATACACCTGTGGGAGAACCAATCGGAATCATGCTCAATCCAGGAATACTACAAGTTGTTGCTCAGCTTGTTGTCCTTCTGACTGGTGGCACGTGCGCACCCATCGAGCCCTGTTTTCCCAAACGCCGCATCAAGCCGATGCTACAAGACATCCAAGATAAGCACGTCATCATGGATACACGTGGAGCCCTAAAGCTTTGTGGGTTCAATCACATCTACCTCCGCAACCTTGGAAAACATTCGACTTTAATCATTTCCAATGTAGAGTTTGTCCGTTTGCCGAACCGAAGCCACAAACTCTTTACTTCTGGGTCGACCGGAAAACTGAAGCCGGTTTCGGTCCATGCAAGTAGCATCCTTCATCTTGCCACAAAGACCCCGGCGACACTACTGTCCCTAAGCGATTGAGTGGCAGAATTCAATAATCCCGGGTTTGATATCAGCCTGTTCGAGATATGGGTCACTCTCACTGCCGGTGCTACGGTCGTGGTTACCCCCCGTCATGTTGCCACAGATCCTAATTCTCTCTCTTCATTCCTGAAGGAGCACAATGTGGCAACGATCATCATGACTGCAGCGCTATTTGGGGCTATTGTTTTTGCTTTGCCTACAGCATTTCACTCGCTACGTCATGTCTTAATTACAGGCGACGTGGCGAATGCCGCGCGCGACGAAGACTGTCTTAGAAATCGGCCCACAGCATTTGTGGAACGCATATGGGCCTGCTGAGTGTACTACCCTGGCAACTACGTTCGAGGTAACACTTGAAGAAACTCACTGTGAGCGTATTAGCATTGGAATGTCCGTGGGAGATATGAAGATATTCCTACTAGACAAAAATCGGGAGCCAATTGTTGACTATGGGAAATGCGGGGAGATACGCATCGGAGGTCCTCAGCAATCCCCTAGATATTTAGATCGGCCGTCGCAGGATGCAAAATCCTTTATTCACCTAGGTAACAAGGGGCTTAGGACACCAGGAAATGAGGATAGCCTCATACGCCTCTAACGGACAGGTGACCTAGGTGCATGGCGATCTGACTCAGGCTGTGTCGACTCTCTGGGTAGATCAGATACACAAATCAAATACCGTGGTTTCCGAGTGGAACTAGGCGAGATAGAATGTGTCCTAGGTTGTATAATGAAGCCCAGGCGGTGGTGGTTATTCGACAACCCCCACCTTCAGCTCGCGGAATGGAAGCATTAGTGGCCTTCATTGTCAGAAAGGGCACAGAAATGCTAGATAGAGAGGCTCTGATGGACTTTTCTCGTGAAAAGCTTCCGCAATACATGCTACTGAGTGCCGTGTGGAATCTGTTGGCAAGCTTCCTTTGACGGCTAACGGTAAAGTCGACCGCAAGGCGCTGATAGATAGCAGATTCAGCATGCTCGAGGAACAGAAATCCCAGCTAATCGACACTGAAAGAAGCAGGACAAAAAGTCAATTCTTTATGACTTATGCAAGGAGATTTTGGATATACTGCAACTCCAAGAAGATGATGATTTGTTTGCTTTAGGAGCTACATCAACCTAAGCTGCGACTCTCCTTGCACTGATCCAAGATCACCTGGGGTGTTTGGTTTCGATGGAAGACCTGTACCGCTATTCCACAGTACCAAGCCTATCATAGCTCATCGATCCCAAAGAATCCGTGCCACCATGCAACGACCCTGGTAACACGTGACTGTGGATGGAAGACATGGATCAAGTCGATGATGTTGAACTTGTCCCTCATTGGGAGTCACAGATGAAGGAAAGGTGTTCATCACAGGGGTGGCCGGCTTGGTCGGGGCCCACCTTCTCCACCACCTACTACTCAGACCCTCTGTCAAGCAAGTCGCTTGTCTTGCCCGCTCTAAAGCGGACCTGGGTGCCGCCACCCGGATCCAACGCGCTCTAGAATGCTATGACCTGTGGGCCGATTTGCATAAAACACAAGCAAAAGCTTGTAGTCCTCAACGGCGAGCTATCAGATAATACACTAGGCCTGGGAACAGAATGTCTCAACTGGCTAGCCCACTGGATATCGATGATTTTCCACGCTGGAGCAAAGGTAAATTTCTGCGAATCCTACCGCGAGCACCGAACATCCAACGTGCTTGGCGCCTGCAATGCCCTCCGCCTAGCTGCCGCAGACAAAGTCTTCCATTACTTTTCCAGCATCGACACCCGGGGGCTAACCGGTTTCACCCTGGGAACCAAGGAACTCTACGAGTATGAACCCCTAATGCCACATAGTCAGGCAGTGCGGTACGACCTAGGATATTCCGGTATCCAGTAGACGGCAGAATCAATGGTACGCCGCATGCACGGCCGAGCCTTACCCACCGTCATCTACCGTCCAGGCTTCATCATCGGAGACAGCAGGACCGGATGAAACAATCCAGACGACTTCATGTCCAGATTGTTCGTCGGATGCATCCAGCTCGGCACGTTCCCAAGCTCGATCAAGACTCGAATATGTGGCAGTCGACTATGTGAAATCAGCTGTGATGCACATCGCCTCGTCGGATGAAAAGCTAGGCTGATCGTACAGCATCTTGTCCCCTGACCAGTCCAAATCAGTGACGGTGATAGACACCTGCGGCGTGACCAACGAAGCCGGGCATCCGGTAGAGGTGATCGAGTACAACGACTGGGTTGAACAGGTCTTCGAGAAGCAACGGCCGGATGGACTGTTGGCGTCGCTGCTTCCGATGTTTCGGGAGCGTGTGCTAGGACGCCTAGCCCGTTGGGAGGTTAGTCAGTAACCTCAGTATTATCTAACCGCTAATACGGTCGAGGCGTTAAGGATTGACTTGATATACAGTACCAACCACTGGATGCTGCGATGTTGAAGTTCATCTCCATCTGGAACCAGAAGGGGTTTTATAAGGTATGTGTGGAATTCATCTCGCTATGTCCTTCTTTCTTGAATAGAAACAGAGTGTCTATTTTCTCCCCAAAGATATATACATTACTCTCAAAAGTATATATATCAATACCACTAACCCACATCCAGAATGTACTATACCAATTCACGTGTTTTTCAATGTTGTAGATTGAGTCCCATCAGAAATCCAGTCCCATTCCAAAGAGCTCATTCCAATCAAAGCCCAGTGGTAGATCGATATCCTGAAGTTCAAGATCTGACATCTCAGGTTCCTGCCAATTAATATCATGTGGGGTATTTGCGCGACTTTTTCTCAGGGCCTCCCTTGCACGAATCGCTGTAGTGAATGGAACATTCGCACCCATTCGTAGCCTAACGAGTAAAAATTGTTCGGTTTTATCTTCCGGTTTCAACCTCTCGGTGTATCTACCCAGTTGATCTAGAAGCGAACATGCACGGGACATGAAGTCCCCGGTGGTTGTTGAAAGGTCCCGTAGTAACTCTCCTCCTTGATTGATTGCACTGTCGAGCGTATGCTTTTCAACCAGCTCTGAGTAGCGAGAGCCCTTCATTAGAAGGAGCAAGCATATGGCGTTTAAGACGATTTTTTGTGGCCGAGATGGAGCGTATAGTAGCTGATCTACAATAGACAGAGCTGTCTGAATAGTAGTCGTCGCTGCAACAGAGGCACATACCAACCAGTGAGAGTGAGAGTCCATGTGGACAGTAATTTTTGACTTTGAACTATCAATGGTAAGTGCAAGGGTGTATAACATGATTTGCGTTCCACAGTATATAATACGATCTGCTGGGGACCAGGAGTGATGTGACTGGAACTCCAAGGCACGCAGCTCGGTTTCGAAGTTGCGAACGAATGGCGCGGTCTCATCCAATAAGCCTGTATTGGATGATATACAATCTCCAAGAGTTGAGCCGATGTTTAACGCTTGACGTGCAATATGTAGTTGGGAAAATAGGGTGTCAGGAAGCCATGAGGGCTTTGAGGTTAGAATTCCCAGAAGACCGCAGTCCAACCGGATCGTGGCTGGGAGCCCAAGTTGGGCACTGGTGCTGATCAACGGTGAGAATTACTTGTCTTTATATCAGTAGTGCACCGCTCACTAACCTCACGTTTGTAATGAAACAGGTTACCCATGCCATCCGCTGGATCATTTCCCTTTCCCCATCGGGCGATGGATTGTCGAATTCTGTCTCGTGTCCAGGTCGGTGTAGTCCCAGTCGCAAGCCGAGGTGTGTTGCCTGCGCGACAAAGGCGTGAGACGGGTCTTCGTTTCTCTGGAATGGGAGGGGCCAGCAGCAAAGGAGCAGGATAGCTTGCAGGGATAAAATGGAACCGTTTGCTGGCCAGATGGAATCTGCAACGAGATCCCTCACCACGTCACATAGGGAATGAAAATCCCACGATACTCTAGCTTCCTTCTCGATGCGATAACTAGCACCGTGGACAAAAGAAGAACAGACGAGTCAGAGTATGTAAGAAATATCGATTGCCGAGGGAGTATTGGACAGAAAGCATGATATCTTGCGTAATACCTGCACCAATCAATCAGGTAATCCTAGTATATACCAATACTTATATCAAAGGCTTACTCGTTCAATAGGTCCTGAATGGCACTGGCTGGCAAATGGACACCCCCAATTGTCTTGTCGTTCAGTAAGACCTCGACCCTTTGAGAGTCCCTCATCGAAGGTGAGTGGACGGAGGATCGAATACGGCCATTCCGGCCCGACCGCAATACTAGGGCCGTTTCAGCGACAATGTCATCGCTAAGTTGATCCTGTTGACTCTCTGCTCTTAGGCGTTTCTTCGCCTGTTGCAACTCCTTTCTGACTGCCTCGAGCTGTCTTTTTGGATCAGTTAGATTATTTGTCAGGGTGTAAGTGGGTTCGCAACTCATCAACACACTCTCGCTTCTTTTCCCGCTTGAAGGACGGGTCAACAGAGCAGATCTTGCCCGTCTTGAGGCATCTTGAGCATGATTCAGGTGGTTCCTTTCTCCGATCCCAGGCCAGCTGTTCAAGAGATGAGTTAGAGCTTTCATTCACGGTTCCGCTACGGACTGACCTTCATTTGGCGGCAATGCACGCGTGCGACATGATTTGATTTTCGGCCCCTCATTGTGCATCAGGTTTTGAACGATTGTTATAGAATGAACGGTGGATCCTTCCAAGAATGTAGATAAGTCGTTCCAGTCTAACCATTTCTAGGGTGTGGCGCCGAACCACAGTGGCAGGTGACAGTGGCAGGTCCTCTTGGACTTTCGTTCAAACAATATGCTACACTGATATTACATACTTCCTTTGATATGTTGAAATGCCAAGGTACCTGGCACTTTTCTTTTTTTTAAAGCTAACGTTACAAGGTACCTCCTATTCGCCAGATTAGCTAGAAAAGACTACCATCCTTCTACAACTTTCATTCTAACACGAACCCCGTCTGCAGGCGCTGCGCCAACTCCTCGCTTGGTCAATACTTCTTCGCGGTCTGGATCCTCTAGTTCCATGTGGAATCTGCCCACCAGTACCGCCACCAAACAGGCCAATTCAGCCCTCGCAAAAGCAGAACCCAGGCAGCTTCGAGGGCCCTGGAGAAATGTTAGAAACCCTTGATGACTCCGCACTCCCCCGGAATTTGTATGTCCCTCACGCACCCAGCGTCCGGGATCAAAGGTATCTGCATCAGGCCCCCAGAGGTCCGGGTCGACATTAATCACCGCCGGTGAGATGGTGAAATGGGTGCCTTTGGGAATCCGGTGGCCTGCCACAGTAGTATCATGCAATGCCTCGCGGATCGTGGAGGGAACTGAGGGGTAGAACCGAAGGGTTTCACTGCACACGGCATGCAGATAAGGGAGACCATCAATGTCAGCTGCCGACACTGCAGACTGGCGATCTGTGATGGCTCCCAGGTGGCTGCGAACCTCCTTTCGGAGGCGCGCCTGGATCTCCGGCTGCTTGCATAGTGCATACACTGCCCATTGGAGAGCATGCGAAGTTGTACCATGCCCAGCGGCTAGGAGTGTCATCATTTGATCGACCAGTTCACCGTCTGTGAGCACACCGCTTCTCAAAGTCACAGCGGCTATGTTCCCATTACCTTGTTTTACCGTATCGAGGTCATTCTTGTTTCTCATATCTTTGAGTATGTCGCTGCACATACGGTGGATGTGACTAGACGCATCTTGACCCGCCTCGTTCGTCGGGTGGGAATCTGAAGCATAAGCATAGCAGCTTGCGTTGAAAACAAAGACAGGACACCTTCAAGTGATGACTCTAACCGAGATGGGTCTTGCCGCATCTGTTGATACTGCCGACTAAGGGCATTGTTGGGGCTTCGCAGCGAGTCAAAATCATGGCCCAGCCCGGCAAGGCCGATGATATCTAGTGTCGCGCGAGTAGCCCACTTCTTGACTTCGATCACGTCCGATTTGCTAGATTCGCTGATGCTCACGTCATTCAACTCCTTCTCAAGACAGTCTGCCAAATCGACTGCTTTGGCCCAGAAAATGGGGTATAGATTTTTGATATGACGAAAAGAAAAGGCAGGCATCAGGCTTTTCCGTTGTATCTATGCTCTTGGGTCTCAGGGATTGATTCAAACATAAATACACAAAATTCATTTGAATGGGATCACGCACTTTATGAGTCTCTCCTTCAGCTAGCAACAGCCCATTGCCAGCGATGTAAGACAGACGTTGCCTGACAACGTCTGGTTTCACAAAGTGGGTAGCTTTCAAAACAAGGATATCATTGAGGGCTTCCACACTGGTCACCAATACTCTCTCCTCATTTCCGGGCAGGTAATATCGAATGAGACCACTGTTCAGCACCGTTGCGCTCCAATGTCTTAGATGTGCAATATGCGATGACACAGGAGCCAGGGTATAGCTTCCCCTGGTCCAAGAACGATTTGGTGGGGTAGGGAGCGCCCATAAGGGTGTCAAGTATGCAGGATAGAAGACTGTCCGGTGCAGAATGCGAATAAAGAGTAAGGTAAAAGAAGTCAGGACAATGAATTGAATAGAAGAGGAGACGAAGTCATTAAGGTAATCAATCATTATCTGTGAGATGGATCCAGACATTGTAAAGAGGAATGAAATACCATTGCTATCAGTCGGCAACACCTGCTATTTATGTATAGCTCTAGCAACAAAGCGATATCGCTTTCTATACCGAACTCAGTTTCTGTGGAAACTCCCCATTGACTTCCTTCGTAATACAGACTCGAATTACTAGGTTTAGGTTTTCTTTGTAGGCTATCATAATCAACTACTTGCGGATAAAACCACTGTACGCCCATAACTACGTTGGAAACTTGTTGAACAGGCACTCCCACCCTGTAATCCGTTCGTTATTCTTGTTAGGGAAGACACAAGCGCCGTCTGAGCATCACTAGCTATTACCGCTGTAATGATATGAGTTCTAGTCCGCCTTGAGATATACAGTAGATATATGTGCTCAAGATATATCACGGAACATCCACATTATGCATCATGGTACCGCATCCACCCTACCGAAGATACAGGTTATATGCGGCGATCAGCCTCTATGACCAATCGTCCTGATTATGCACAATGAGCATTTACAACAAGTAAATATACAGTGGAGATCTACAAACTTGTCTTCCCCCTCGTTTCATACGGAATAAGCAAAACCAAGAGCCCGGCCACCAGGAATAATACCCCACTTACGTACACTGGACTAGTCGTCTGTACGCTGGCAAAGATGGCAATGATGGGAGCCAGGATACCTCCCACGCGATTAGCGGCGCTGACCAATGCATTTCCAGTTCCGCGGTCTTTGGTTTCGAACATCTCCGGCGTATATGAATACAGCACAGCGTAAAGCAGACTGCTCGTGAAGCTGTAGGCGCAGTTCCAGCTGAGGAGGGCCTCAGAGGTTGAGGCCGTCGTCGACGCGAGGAGGAACGTTCCCGTTGCGACGGCGGCGAAGGAGAGGGTGCCCTTCCGACCGAGGCGAGGGAGTTCGACCATAGCGCCGCCAACAAGACTGCCCGGCAAGCCGACAGCCGCAATGATGAGCGAGTTGCGGTAGGTGATGTATGTAGAGCCGTCACCAAATTGAACGCCACGGGTTTGTTGGAGAAAAGGCAAGAAGGCGTTGTAGAGGGGGAAACCAAGCCCGATCAGAGTCCAAATACAGATCATCAGGCCGGTAGACCAGGCACGCCGCGGGGTTCTGAAGAGTGCTTTAACGTGTGAAAGACTGAGAGGCTCCATCAACATGCGCATTTGATCGGATGTGCTCAGACCCTGGCGAGGGGCTTGCTCTTCGTCATCGACGCTCATGAGCTCGTCCAGATGGTCCAATGACAAGTCGGACATCTTTCCATTGCGGCGTGCGACTTCGTGAACAACCGTCACAGCGTCTTCATTACGGCCTCTACCCATGAGATACTTGGGAGACTCATAAAGGGTGAAGAATAGCCAGCGGATGATGCACATGAGCAGAGCCATCCCGCCCATGGCGATCAGGAAATACCGCCAGCCCATGTTGTTATCCTTGGTACAGGTTTTTACCGACGAGCAGGTCAAGTTGCCCAACAGCGGCCATGCGACGAGATTCGCCAACAGCTGTGCCAGGGCCCAGTTAACGGACAAGACAGTCAAAAGGTACTGATGCGATCCCGGTAGGAACTCGAGAAAGATGGCAGAATCCACCGGTAGATTTCCTCCTACCCCGACCGACCATAAGGCTGCAAAAACCCCGACCGCAGCGAAGGTAGGTGATCCAGCAGCCGCCAGACCGAACACGGCAGTGATGCCAATTGTGAGATTGAAGGCCCATCGGCGCCCGAATAAATCGCAACTGAAGCCCCAGAATAGTGCACCCACCAGCAGTCCGATGTTCTGAGCGAGAGTCAACAGTGGTGGTTGGGCGACATTAAATTCATAGGACACGGGGACGAGGATGAGTGAGGTAACGATCGGCCACAGGTTATCGCTAGCCCAACCGAACCCGATGACGGCGAACAGCTGCCACTGGTATCGGCCCATCCCAATATCCTGGATGGCGCGGTTCAGCACGTCGGCGTTGGTTCGATAGGTGGAGGGCGCAGCGCCATTGTGCGATGGTGGCCGCAACGGCGATAGAGGATCAGGCTCATCGATTTTGGGCGCTGCGTCCATGGTGGAGAGGGGTCTATATTCTATCATTGATGTCTAGAGATGTCGAATGAGATTTTCACTGGGGCCTATGGTTCGCCCTCTAGTCAATCTCACCAGCACATCAGAAGAGAGGAGAGTGGGGGCGGGAGTACAAAAGGTTGAAGGAAGGGAAAAGAAGTCGCTACAGGTAAATGCAGGACTCACGTTACTTTCTTGAACATGCATCTCTCGTTGGTGCATTGAATGACGGAATCAGCCGCATCGATGGTATCATCCAAAAGTTTTTATGTTACTTCTTCTAATTCCTAGAGTTGCATCGAACCAAAGAATTTGATCGGGGACGTTGTACAGTAATGAATTCAAAGAGGAATAAATGTGAAAGAAAAAGGTTGACTCCACAATAAATTGGGGAAATTAATAGATCGTAATTCAGTAGATATACTACTAGTACTAGTAATTGTATTGTATCCACCGAAGAGTGAGGGGAGGGATTAAAACGGTAAAAAATGTTAATTTTAACGGGGGGGGAAGTTCGACGTTGCCGGAAACGTCAGGCTGCTGCGGGGGTGGCACTGCCTGAGGCTGCCCCCGCCAAGGCGCTGTAGGGCGTGGCTCCAGGGAAGAACGATGTGGGAATAGTCGGGATCGGGATAGACGCGGCCGTTCCGAATGCGGTTTTCAAATTATTCGGCATGCTACTCACATCATACCCTGTCGGAGCAGCGGTCTCTGTGATAGCAGTGCTATATGTAGACGTTCCATCCCCTTCCTGCAGACAGAATCCCGTTCCAAACCCATTCTCGCAGGTGTAGCTCTGCGACTTGCCCGATTCCGTCCACATCGCAAAATCATCGATGGTAATATCAGTACAAGGGGCCTTAGCAGCGCACACAACCTTGATCGGCCCTCTTTGTGCACCATTTTCCTCGGTGCCTTTCCAGTTACGCACGGTGATGTTATTCAGCCGCACACCGTCTCCACTGACCGTCTTCATACTGCTCCATTGACCGTCAATGTCCAGGGAGTAGGCGTTGCCGTGACCTAGTGCATAAACTCTAGTGATCAGTCTTGGTCCCTGCCATTCCAAGAACGAGAAACATAACCTACCAATAAAATTTTCCAACACCATGTTCGACACCGTTCCACTGCCACCGTTGCTCTTTATCATGTACATTTGGTTGGAGTTCCAGGTGTAGACGTTGCGATAGACCACGTCGCTGATATTTGTGTCGGCTCCCAGCGATCCCATCGCACAACCTCCACTCCAGTTACAATAGATATTCTCGACTAGGATGTTCTTTGCAGGGCTCTACAATCCAATCAGAGGCGTATATAACCTTGCAACACTGCTAAGGGGGAACCAACCTTAACCGTGATACATTCATCTTTGTTCGTCACTTCAACCTATACAGATAGATACCGTTAACCACAACCCCAACCCAACCAAACCGTGCTTTGATAAAGGGAAAAAGGAAGCGAAGAAAATGAACTCACATCATGGACCCAGGCATTGTTACTCCAAACATCAATGCCATCCAATCCCCCAGAATCTCCGCCCCGAACGGCCATGTTATAAACCTCTGCATTCGTACATGTATCCAAGGAAAGATGAAAAGCCGGCGCATCAACCAGCGCAATATCATGCACCGAGAAATCCGTGACATCGTAGAACCGCAACAAGCGAGGCCCTTTCAAATTCCCTTCTTTATGGAACTCATACCCCAGTCCCTGGATCGCTCCCTTGGACGTGCTGCTGAAGAATTCAAAGTCCGACGTATGCTCGATCATGAACATGTTGCCCCCGTCCATTCCAGTACGATAGATGATGCCGTCTAGCTGGATCGCGTTGGCTTTACCGCCAGACAGTTTCAGCCAGGTCGACATCGCGTACTCGCCTGATGGGATGTAGACTACACCGCCAGCGACGCAGTCGTCCCATGCTTTTTCGATGGCAGGGCCAATATCGGTTTCCTTGTCGGCTACCGCACCATACTCTTGGACATTGCAGGTCTTGATGCTCGCCTTGGAGCTGGAAGAGCTTAAGGGGCCTACGTGGCCAGAGAGTTGGGCGTTGGCCAGCAACGGAGAGAGGAGGGCGATGGAGAGGAATGATAGAGAGCGCATTGTAATATGCTTAGTCTCTCTTGTGCTCCTTTTGTAATTTCGGTTGGGGTTAATGTTCCAATGAGAGAGAAAAAGCTTAGTCGCTGCAAATCCGGATGCTGTCGACTTTAAATACCAACTTCCATCCTATATGTGGAGTACATAACAATACGTGATATATCAATCATTAACCCCATACATCACTGTAACAAAAGGATCAATGCTAGATACCAAGTGCTTGAGTTATTGTCCGTATTATGACAGACCATCCATCTCCTCCCCCCAGTCCATCGTCTCGTAACGCGGACACTCGTCTGAATGAAACAATAGTCTGCGCGCCAAAATGCTTGGTGTTTGAGACGTGCTTCATGGCACGAAGAACAAACGCAAGGAAAGTATAAGCCGCACTCCCGACGTCGATGCCGTCGGTGGATAAAGGGGGTGGATCCTCCAATGCTTTTCTTCGGGCATCGGAGACGATGATCATGTCGGAGCTGACGTGCACGGGGAGGTTCGCCGTGTCAGATGAGCCGATCAGCGGGATTTGATGCCGTATCGGCCAGGGTCAGTATGGAATAAAAGGAGGTTTTCCAGTATGTATCCGTGATTTCTTCAGTTAGACCTCTGGGTTTCGGAGATAAAGCTATTTCTATATTTTCTAGTGAGGTGATTTAGGTTTCTACGGCCATTCTACCACGGTAGACTCATGATTGTCTCAAACTCATAGTAATGCAAGTAGCTTCATACCAAGCAGGCAGGTTGGACCTCTACTTGCGACAATATTATCAACCATTATTGAGTTCTTTCATTTACACCTACAAGCGCGTTCCATTTCCATGCACCGCCAACTCAATGTGAATTTACCGGTAGGAGTTGACGGCCCTTTTCGCGAGAGACACTAAGGCCGAATTCATTCGAATCACGCATTGAAAAAAGGATAATCAGTTCAAAATAATTCAGGAATAACCTAGGATGCCAATTGACCGTGAGATTAAGCGACAAAGAATTGAGGAGAGTCTGAGCGGCTTCTTCGGGCTTCATGCTAAGAATAACAGACACTAAACATATCTCAGCTGTGTTAGATCTGAGTACGCAGCACGAGACTATAAATCAAGTCTAATATATTCCAAAGCCCTGCGATAAGCGCCGATCGCTAAGACAGTAAGCTCAAGAGTGAGCTGAAATACCGACACATTTGAGCAAGATTCATTCTCATAGGGTGTCTGCATTCTTCAGTTTTATATGCATGGACGGTTTGGTCGGAGATAGGTCTGTCTATATATTAGTTTCTAACTAACAGCATGGAAAGCTCGACAACCCAAACGTATAAATACTCTATGCCTCGTAGAGATAAGATAACGGGTTTATCCTCATTGCATGGGAGCAATCGGTCATTAAAACACAGTGTCCTGGATTTAGGGCCCTTCTGAGTACTTTTTCTATTCATTGAGTCTCGGGCATCCTCTCTCGGCCGAGTTGGTATGTCTCAAATCAAATTATCATATAGAAACCCAATGAAAATAGCAATGACTCACAGAACAATTTGTAGATATAAAACCAGATAATATAACATGTTTGTAGAGAGCTCTTATACCAATTAAGAGGAGTGTCAAACATCGAGGGTTCAACTGTGATTTTTGCAGGATCTCAAACTGTGGAACGGGTGGCAACGGAGCTCTCCGAATCAATAAACCCGTCGAACAACTCTCAATTAGACATCATACAGCTCACTACAAGAATCAAATCGAATTATGGCTAGTCCATGCGGAATCTCGGAGCCCCAGCTCACCAAACATGATGTGGGCTGGAGGAGAGTTGTCCGCAATTTCACCCCTTCGTAAGCCTCAAATTCTCCACGCTGGAAGGAACATTCCAATTAACCCTCTGATGCAGATGGTTCTCCGTCACGATGGGCACGGGGATTGTGTCAGTCCTCCTCAATACGCTGCCCTATAATGGCGAATGGCTCTATTGGATTTCTGTTGTCATTTTCGCTTTCAATGTTCTTCTCTTCGGGATAGGATGCGTCATCACCATTGTCCGGTATACGCTGTACCCGGAGATTTTTACCGTGATGATTACCCATCCGGTCCAGTCGATGTTCCTTGGGACATTTCCAATGGGGTTTGCAACTATCGTGAATATGTTTTGTTTCGTCTGCGTCCCAGCTTGGGGTGAATGGGCTAAGAATTTTGCCTGGGGGATGTGGATATTGGATGCCATCCTTTCTGTCATCACAGCTCTGTCGCTGCCATTTTTATTGTACGCCATATGTCCCTCCCTACAAAGCGAGTTGAATTCCACTAAATCCATTATCAGAATGGCTCATGGAGGCGAAACACAACTTTCCTCCATGACCGCGGTGTGGCTTCTCCCCATCGTCAGCTGCATCGTTGCCGGATCTTCTGGCGGCATCGTGGCGGGTGTTCTATCCAATCCCCAGCATGCGCTCTGGACTGTGATCGTTTCGTACGTCCTGTGGGGTATCGGACTTCCCCTGGCGATGATGGTTATGGTGATCTACCTACAGCGCCTGACATTACACAAGATCCCACCCAAGGCAGTGATAGTCAGCGTGTTCTTGCCTCTGGGCCCGTTGAGCCAAGGCGGCTTTGGGTATGCATATTCCTTCCCAGCCGAGTGAACGCAGATTTAACAATAATAGGATCCTGAAGCTGGGTAAAGCGGCACAAACGATCTTCCCCCAGACGCACACGTTACAGGCGTCATCCGGCGAAATCTTCTACACCCTGGGCTTCCTGGTCGCCTTGATTCTGTGGTCATTTGCACTCGTCTGGCTCTTCTTTGCACTAGCATCTATTGCCCGATGCAAGAGCTTTCCATTCAACATCGGATGGTGGGGTTTCACCTTTCCCCTCGGTGTCTTCGCCACCTGCACCTGTGAAATGGGCACGGAGTTGCCGTCAGAGTTCTTTCGGGTACTAGGGACGGTACGTTCTCTCCTTCTCGCGTAGACTCTGTACATTCGGTATTAATGTTTTATAGATCGTATCGCTTTGTGTGGTTGTGTTGTGGATTGTTGTGAGTGTTGGGACGCTCAAGGGGGTGGTCTCTGGGCAGTTGTTTGTCGCGCCTTGTTTAGGAAATCTGAAGACTAAAGAGGAGGATAAAGACGCGAATAAGGCTGCATAAAATGTAAGAGTAGTAGTGTAGAACATATTACCGTGGGCCAGTTAAAGATGGTTTTTGCTTTTTTATTTTTTTAAATTTAAGAAAATAAATTTTTTGCGCTTTTTCTAAATTATTTTTTTTTCCAATGTCACCCCAATCGGTGGGGTATATATGTTGTGCAGTGTACACTTCATGTGGTGGACGAAATACATAATTATTCTTCAGATACACAATGCCAGAAAATCGAAAATTAAATTAAACTACTGGAGAAGATAAGATTGGGTTCATTATTGTTACATTCTGGGTCTAAGTTTTTAATTGTGGTTGATGATTTATTATTATTATTTTTTTATTTTTATTTTTTTCGTTGTTGTGGTGGTGACGGTTCGAGGATCGTGGATGATGCCTTCAAAAATGTCGAAAAAAGAAATGGACCAATTTGTCCATATAAGCTTAAAAAGAGAGATTCAGATCTTAAGGTGGATTGGCTTTGCCAGTGATATATTATGTGGATTTATTTCGGACTTTTTTTGTTGATTCTATTTTATTATTTAAAAGATTAAATAATTAATGTAATAAAATAATAAAATAAAATAATAATAACAATTAAAGGGAGGGAAAAAAAATTCATTTAATATTATTTATTTTCTACTTTTAGTCTATACTCATAGGACCTTATTTCTTTAGTGCAGACCACACGCGCCCATTTCGCGACTGAGGGGGTTCCTTTTGTTTAAACATCATTCACCTTGGACTCTACCTGTCGCCTCTCTCAGCTCTCGCCCTCATTCACGCTGCTTCGTATTTTTGTCTGCGTGGCGGAGCGACGAGTGGCCAAGCTGGCCAGTCATCACGTGATACTAGGGGACGCTAAGAAATTAAAAATTAAAAAATGGAAATTCAAAATTCAAAAATCCAAAAAAATCGAAAAAAGGGCGAAAAACGAACCACGCCGGTGATCTTGCGATTCCAAACAAATCATCCGCTTGGCTCTTCCCCAGATTCTAGAATACCAGAATCATCATCTTCACTTTGAACGAGGGTAGAATCCCAAGGACCCAAGGGGAAGTCAGGGTACTCGTTGTCCTCTCCTTCGCAGCTGGTTCGGGCGCAGTGGGTTTTTCCCCCCTACTATTATTTTGGGGGGTTGGGTGATTTTTTCCCTCTTTTTTTTTTTATTTTTTTTTATTTTTATTTTATTTAATTTTTCCCCCAACGATTTGCGCCACAAAGCCAACCGCCTTACCGTAGAATCACAGCCTCAGGCCACCAATCAATCACCATATCGTTTTCGCGCAAATTGCCGACCTTCCACGGCAAATCTCCCTCCATCTGTGACGCGCCCTGCGCGTGTTTTTCTCCCTGGAAGGCCGGTCAATTGCTGTGACCTGATCACCCTCTGCGATTGCCGGATCTGAATTTAATTGCCTAGCCGTCATCGATTAGGTCCATTCGCTCCGTGCATACCGCGTCGGGACGCGGTGGTCACATGTTTTGTATCGCTTCTCAACTAAACCCCAAAGAAAAACAAGAAAAAAGATAGATAGTGTGGAAATATTCAATTTGAATTTCGGGTGATACGACCGTCAAGATGATGGGATTTGGGGGTCATTCATTTCACCAGCAACGGCAAACTCAGCAGAATGCTCATCCCCAACATCAGCAACAACTCCAGTCTCCGTCCATGGGTGCGGCTGCGGCGGCTGCGGCTGCCACGCAGCAACATCATAACACTGCCGTCGCCGGGAATAATTCCCTCCTTCGCGGTCAACAGCAGACTGATCTCACAGCCCAGTCTCCGGATCTTCGCAAGATGACTCCGTCGTCGTCGGCACCACTAGTGGGAATGCCTGCCGGGGGGGGCACTTTCGCTTCGTTTTCAGGCCATTTCCCGCCGCAGGGCTCATCCGAGCTACTGTCGAGAGGAGCCGACTCGGTGGGTCAGCTGAAGGACCCTTATTTGTCCCTGCAGAGCTTGCAGAGGAATATGAATCCCATGGCCAGTTTTCGCGCCCACCCGGCTGCGGCCATGAACGCTCAGGCGGCTATGTCGCCGCACGCCCATGCCATGGGGCTGTCTTCCCCACAGCAGTCGATGGACCGTATGCAGCACGCGCAGTATCAACAGCGGCAGACGACGCATACCCATCCGGCGCAAACATCCACCACGGCGTCGCCGATGTTAGCCGCGGCTCAGCCCCAGCCCCAGCATCAGTACCAGCAGCAACAGCCGCAGTACCAATCCGCACAGCAGCAGGCTCAATATCAAGCGACACAACAGGCTCAGTACCAACAGGCTCAACAGTCTCCGTACCAACAGGCTCAAACCCAGCAGCCTCAGTATCAGGCGCAAGCGCAGTCACCGTATCAGCAGCAGGTGCAGCAAACCTTCCAGCAGCAGCAGGCTCAACAAGCACAGGTGCAGCAACAGGCGCAACAACAAGCCCAGCAGTCCTATCAACAGCATGCGCGCTACCAATCGCAGCAAGCTCAGCGCTCGCCGTATCAGTCGCAGGCTGGGCAACACACGTTCCACCAAGCTTATCAGCAGCGTCAATATCAGCCGCAGCAACAAGCACAGTATACTCAGCAAGCGCAGCAACATCAGCAGCGGTCAGCGCAGTCGACACCGTCAACGATGGGAGGAAGTGCAGAGCTCCCAGTACAAGAACCGGAAACGGAAGAGGCTAAAACCAAGCGACGTCCCAAGCAAACTAAAGCGACTGTATCTCCAGCGATATCTACGAAGCAAGTAAATGGTCAGCCACCAGCCGTATACGCCACAGATGCTCAAACTCAGGCTCATGCCCAGGCCCAGGCCCAGGCCCAAGCACAGGCCCAGGCACAGGCCCAAGCTCAAGCTCAAGTTCAACAAGCCCAGCAAACTCAGGGCCAACCCCAAGCCCCGACACAGGACAAATCCGCCTCGACAGGTAACACCGCTACTCCTGGCAAACGTCGAGGTCGCCCCCGGAAGTCCTTAGTGCCAGGCGAAGAAGGCAAAACCCCAAAGCCCAAGAAACCGTCTAAAGCAGCCGCTGCAGCCGCAGCTGCAGCCGCACAAGGCGGCAATGTGGCCCCAGCTCCGGCTGCTACAGCTCCGGCTACAGCATCGGGCCTACCCCCAGGGGTACAAGGACCGGCTCCCGCGCCTGGCGTCCCCGGCGTCCCCGGCACTATAACTAATCCAGATGGCACCGTGGTACCGCAAAAGAGACGCCGCGGCCGTCCACGCAAGTCAGAAATGGACCCGAACGCTCCGCCCAAACCCAAGGCTCCTCGCAAACCAGCCTCATCAAAGCCATCCGGTACAGGACGTCCTCGCGGCCGTCCTCGTAAGGCTGATGTCGCTGCTCGACAGGCGGCAGCCGAAGCCGAAGCGCAAGCCAAAGCACAAGGCCAGCCAAGTCAAACTCTGGGTCAGGGCCAAGCCCAACCTCAAGCACAACCCCAACAGACCCAGGGCCACGTTCAGCATCCACACCAGCATCCACACCAGCCACAACCGCAGCAGCCACAACCACAGGCTCAACCAACAATGCAGGCTCAACCGCAGATACCAACTCAAAATCAGATGCAAACTCAACCCCAGATGCAAGCTCAGCCAACAATGCAAGTCCAGCCTCAACTGCAGGCCCACCACCCCCAACTCCAGGTGCACCAGCACCACCCTCAGCACCATCCACATGCGCACCAGCACCAGCACCAGCATCATCCCCACCCCCATGTGCATCAACACCAACACACACAAGCCCAACACGCACAGGCTCAACATGCACAGGCTCAACACGGACACCAGCATCCGCACGCCCAAGCGGATTCAATGGTCCTAAACCCAGCTCAAAAGCGCGGCCCTCCATCCTTGGATGATGACCCGCGTAAACGAGCCTACCTTATGCCCCAGATGTAAATCGCTTCTTCCCTTAACTCGTGGAAATAATCACTACACCCAGACGCATCTCTTAATCGGGTTTTCTTTGTTTGAAAGTTCTCAGAGCAACACATATGTTTCCCCCTGTTATTAGTTTCTGTTCCTATTCTATTCTTCCAGCATACCTACGACCATGGTTTCTTATTTTATTCATAGTCTTGTTATGCTTCATTTCTGATTCCTGTTAACCATAAGCCAATGTTCTCACACATCAATCAATGTTAACGAGTTAATTTCCTCCCCACTATGAAGTAGTTTTCATCTCTGTCTTTTCGTTGTTGAATTCTGTGTTCATGTCCCTAGGTTTTGCCTGGTTCTTATTCAGCGTTAGGTATCTATAACTTTTTTACATCCTCCCCCGAACCACCCCATACGTCTTAAATTTGTTTGCCCTGGTTGACTATTGATTTACTGGCTAGTTTTATCTGCGTTTATTGTTAGCTGAATTTATTCGAGTCGAACTCTTTTTTCTTGATCTTCAATGTGTTTCTACGTTGTAGGTTCTGATTTGGGAGCGGAGGGGAGGGTTTGAATTTTTTGTGTATCTATGTTATGGATAGGGAATTATATTGCCTGGTATCATTTTGCTTTTCATTTCTACTCACTAAATCTAGCAGTTAAACTAGCCTTATAACATTGATATTAGTTCCACGTCTACAATTTAGTGAACATGAATCACAAAGTCATGAAAAATACATAATAATACATAAGACGGACCCCGTTTTTCAACATCCAAAGGGGATTGACTCGTTAAGATTTAATAACTTCTTCCGGCCCGTTCTCCATCATCCAAACAGAATCGTCAGTTGGAGGCAAAGATGCTCCATCCGGGAGGCCGGTTAGATCGAGGCCTAGACTCGGCGCGATGCGACGGATAAAGCTGTCGCAAAAGACAAAAGCGCGTCGCGAAGCAGTATTAGTGTGGCTCATAGCGTAGAGCCAGCGAATGACCTTTTTACAAGCTTCAAGCATGGTATGAGTGTTAATGGCTAGGGTGTCCTTGGCGGTCTCGGGAATAGTCCAGCAGGAGAGCCCGAGGAGTAAAGCGGTGTTGGCTTGCATAAGGTAGTGAAGGATGATCCACCATGGAGTCACGCGCGCCACCCAGTGGATGTCCGGTTCCTCGGGGAGGATAGAGGTCAAGGAGCAGGCAGAGCGCAGACAGCTAAGGGCCATTTCATCGCGAAGGCTAGAAGAATGCGTGGGTTTTGCCGGCTGGGTAGGTGAGCCTACTTTTAGGTTGGCATGAGAGACACAGGGCCGACAGAGGGTAATCCTAGCGCTGTAGAAGTTGAAGGCAAGACATGTTCGTTCTCGCATGAAAGGGCCATCGGCTTCTGGGACGCGGAATTGTTCCCCATGTGGCTCCGTAAATCGAAACGCCTTTGGAAGTTTATATAACCAGGTCTCCAGGGCCTTGTCATATTTTCGTATGCGGTGGTGAATCTTGCCGCTAGGCTCACGTAAAGCTTGAATGCTGTATACTTTGTTCATCACGGACTGAGTGATATTCGTGAGGTCCACTAGGCAGTGGAAGAACAGAGATGGGGTGGGCTCGCACGTCACCAGCCATTGAGCGCTAGATCGAGCCTCCTCCTCCGTTTGGAGTAGTGTCAGCTTTAGATGGCTTTCACGCATGGATGGATCCTGGAAGAGACGAAGGACTGCAGGTCTACTGAAAGCATCCTCTTCAAATGGTACTGGCAGTGGTGCGGAGCTCAGGCTCTCACCAACGCAGGAGACTCGCCCCGTAACGGAGGTAAGTTGATGCTCGAGAAGAAATATAGACCACCACAGGCGGCTTCGTGCCTCTTTTGACGTAAAGTGTGTCCGATCATCCACTAAGCGAAGGTTGATCCCAAGTGATAAAGCTGACCGAAGTGCCGTGCTCGAGAATTTGAAGGATCTGGAAGTATTAACATTGCCTTCCAAAGCCACATTTGCTCGCAGGTTAACTTCCGACTCACCTATTGACTTGGCCCATTGACAGCAGGTACAAAGCTACCAGGAACTCCACCTGGATTTGCTGTAAATCTGCATGTTCAAAGAGCACGTTTCCGCTCAAAGCCAATTTCCTAGCTCGATTCAGGTATAGCAGATCGTCTAAGTCCCCAGCCCCTGCATGATCTACGAGTTGGCAATATCGACAACCGATAGCGAAGATCATATTCAATATAGCCAGCCATCGCCGTGGTGGGTTTGACGGCTGGCTAAAGAATTGGCGATACTGTGCAGTGAAGATGCTCCTTCGGATGACCATAAACGCCGGATGCACGGATTCCATAAACGCATTGAAGAACTGGTCTGCTAGCTCCTTGGACGGCAGCGCATACGCATCCACGGAGTCCAGCAATGGTAGATGGAGGTCATCAAGATGATAACTCACTGTTATAGAGGGGCCGTCATGCTTCGGCTCCTGTATAGAAGTAGCTTGGTGCAACGCCATACCTGAGTCATCGAGACATCGGCTACGACCTTCAGCTTCATCCTCTAGCCTCTGCATCCAGAAGATTTCGGAATTTTTGCCAAAGAATCCTGTGGCTATCGACTTCTCGTTCCGGTTCAGATCCTCATCGATCAGGTCAATCTCGTCCAGAGATCCAATCGATGACGTCTCGTCGCCGGAATCGGAGTCATCATCTGCAGAAGATTCTGACCCCTACGCTTGTAAGCTTTTCGTCTTATTTCCTACACGAGGCTCACGCGATGATGAGGGCGTACGTACCTGTAGACTCCTCCTGATCCGCCTTGCGAGGACGCCGTCAAGTTCCGACTCAATGTCTTCCAATAGCTTCTCATACCGCTGCACCTTCCTCGCTAACACCCCTAGCTGTTTCTGGTCTCGAACTCGTTTCACATCCAGATAAGAACAGCTCACATTGTGCTCCACACATTGCCTACACGCCGGCTTGTTCCCATCACACTTAATCTTCCGCTGTCGGCAAGGCTCGCAAGCACGTGCGGATCGGCGACGCTGGGAGTGACTATTGACAATCGTAGTCCGAGGGATGGCCACCTTAGGAATGTCTCGCGATGAGGACGATCTAGACGACTGCTGAGTGGGGAATCCATTTCTGTCTGGGTATGGCGGTATGGCGTATGGATTAAAGCTCGTCGGTGGGAAGCTACCAGGACTAACAGGCACCGTACCCCAGAACCAGTCAGATGATGGAGGCACGGATGAATCAGGATCCGAAATGCTGTGGTAATACGGTGGTATATTGTTTTCCATTGTCAGATGACACAACGACCAATATGGACTGAGTGGGAGTCAGGCTCATGACGACTAAGAGGAACAGCTTTTCTTTTTCTTTTTTTTTGTGCCAGGTCTCAAGAGAAAAGGCACGGACCGCGATGATGGCTTAGCCCCCCCAAAAAAAGAGTAGGGAAAGGAAAGGAGAAACAAAAATGATGTCGTTCAACGCGCGATGAACAGCCAATGATGTCACCACCCGAAGGTTAAATTAAATAAAACACCAAAACACTTCAGCATACAATCAATAATTCTATAGATAGATAGATACTCCAATATATAGTATAGATAAGGTATCACTTTCCAATACATAGCATTATCATGACTAGCGTGCCTCCGGTCGGTATCTCTCCGGTGCGATCTCATCCTTCCCTAAGCTCAAACTCTCGTAACAATCGAGCATGTCGAAGAGACTGTGATCGCCCTCGCCTGGGATGCCATGGTATCGTTCATCCTCATTCAATTTCTCCAATCCCTTATCATACCCGTCCCACCGAGACGGCGATGAGATGTCTTCTGTAAATAAAGCCTTCAGCTCATCATTGACGGCACTTGAGCTTGATGCCCGTTGGCCCTGGCCTTTGCCGAGAACCGATTGTCGGAACAGGTGGAAGAGATTTCTCCCTAGCTGAGAACGGCTGGTCAAACTGATAAAAGCACTGGTCAGTGAGAGGAAATCTTGATCCAGAATATCAAAGCCGTCACAATCGAGCATCGTGAACAGAGCCAGATTGATGGCATACAGCGCAAAGTGATGCGCACGACTCATCCCATATTCTCGCCGATAGAGCCGTGCCAAAGCGGAAATCGCGCGCGCCGAAGACAGTATATTCTCCAGAGCATCAAACTTTAAACGTGGTAGGCTAAACCCGGGTGGGCTTTCGGGCGTTTTAGGGGCCTCGATATCGACACTCGAAACATCATCCTCTGGTCGCCATGAGAATAAATTAATCGTCAAAGTGTGGTACCTCATCCTAGTGCAACGATTAACAGCGAGATTGGGCGACGTATACACAAATCCTGGGGCTCCATAGATCAAGAATTTGGGGGGAGGGGTGAAGTAGCATGCGTAAGGGGCGGTTTCTAATGCGTGATATGTACATAGCTAGGAATAGATATGGAAAGGAGACCAACCTACCTCAGTAATATAATATAGGGTGGTGGATTGCGATCTGGGTTGAAGGTATCCGGTAGTCCCTGATACCATCGCCAAAGCCTTTCATACAACGCTTCCTTAGTTCGGCGCTGATGATATGCGGAAAACGAGGAACCATTGATCGCATAAAGTTGTTGTGAAATATCACGTGCAATCTCACACAGGTTCCAAGACTCGTCAAAGTACTGACTGAGAAGGGACGGTCGTGGAGCGCGATGGGATGGATAAGGAACCCATAGAGCCGTTTCATCCATGCGAGTGCTATCCGGCCGTTCCAAGTTGACTTTGTCAATTAGACTTGGTCTTAAGAAGTCGGTGTGGACGACGCTAGCCACAAGATGAGACCGTGTCTTCGGATATTATTGGAGGACTTACGTATCTATATGGAACAAGCCCCAGGCCGTCCGCTTGATAGAGGTCTTCATGTCTTCCGTAAGCTGCCCAGACCCCAACTTGAAGACCTTCGGGCCAATTAACCCTAATGATTCGCCAGTCCAGATTGCTTGGTGGAGCATTTTATAGCCTAGATCATTATGCCCAGATATTGAATACCTTCAAGGTGTCAGATGCCGGGCGCCAATGAGAATATAATATGGGTCAACCGCATACCTTTCATATAACAGAAGGGTACCTTGTAGGAATGCAAGACTGAGCTTTGCTGGCTCCTCATCCCTCAGCCGTTCAGCCTCGGCGAGAAAATCAGCACCCTTGGTAACAATATCGCCTGGGTCCACGTATGCCTCTAGATAATCCGAGAAATGCTGGAGTGACGCAGTTAATATGTATCCGTAACTGTTGAAGAGCCTTCACTTACGCATGCGTTTGCGAGAAGTGCATTGACCAAAAATGGACTGCAAAACTCCGAGTTGAGGTCGCCCATGGCCATATCTCGTAGAAACACCTCGCGATCGAGAAAGGCGTGGAACGGAAAGTCCCAGGTGAAATACAGGGATATTAAGTGCGATACCAGATCTGCATCCTCAGTAATTGTAGTCCAAGGTTTTGCGGGGACTCGGAAAGGCACCTCATCGCATAAGTAGTGAATGTCCATAACCTTTGGGCGAAAGGACGGACCGGCTCCCTCTACATTGATCACCCGTCGAACATCCTCTAGCTTGCGCATAGTAACCTCGTCGGCGCTGTCCGTCCCTTCCATTTGGGCCAACGCTTCGTCGATAAATCCACGCATCTCCTCCGCGGTGGCATCCCTTCGAATGATGTCCAACAGCCTAAGGCCAAAGGATCGATCGTCCGCTCGCATCACCCTCAGGAGGTCATTAAGCATATCTCGGTGATAACTGAGCTCATCTGCGGTACGTTTAGCGGCCACTCGCCGGCGTTGATCTAGGGTTTCATCAAAAATGCACTGCCGATTAAAAGCTCGACAGTTATCACAAGGAGGTACTCCGGAACACTAAATTACACTCTGTCAGCAGCGGCGTAAAGCCGTTAGAAATAAGGCTGGTGGCAAGACGAGAGGAAAGACAGGACAAGACAAGATAAATTAGAATAAGATAAAACCGACGTCGATGATGCAATATTATGCTCCAAAAAAGTAAACAAACATACTTTTCGTTTGGACTTCTTACAAGCCAAACAAGCCATAGACACCCGCTTTTTTGAAGGATCCATAGGCGTCCGGTTGTTTTCTCCAGGCGGACTATCACCCGGGAGCAGATCGGATTTCAGGGAAGAAGGCCCTGGTGCAATTTGACGGGGCGCTGTCGGTTCGCTCATGTTGGCAGCGAAAGCATGCGATAAATAAACACAGCCTGTCCAACTGGTACGCCAACCACTTGCGAGGGACCCACAAGGGAGCTGTAAAGAACTTCGCGAAGGAGACTTGCTGAACATCGATGAGTCTTATACTAATAAACACAAAGTCTGCCATGTGAAAGGGCCCAGAACGAGACAACGGGGCCTAGGGCTCCGCAAAACGAGAAGGAACAGTCATCCATGAACCCCTCCTTCACGCTTGAATTGATCTCGGGTTGCCTTTGCATGACGTACAGGAAAACGTTAGCGGTGTGAGGCAATTCTGGTTACGGCAACAGGAAACCGTGTCCGAACCCTATGGCGTCCACGGCCACGTCAGGTGCCACAACATCCACAATCCTCTCAACATCGAAGGGTACAGGAAGGTCAGGAGACCAATAAACTCCGAATCAGAGTACCTCATGGTTAAGGGAAGGGGAGGCGGCTATTCTTTATTGCTCTCTAGACCGTCCGTCCCTGAAGGAGAGCGGGTTGACATGCAGGGAGCATCCGGAAGATAGTCCCGCGGGGGAAGTGGGCACGTGATGCCCGACTGGGTTTTATTATGTGTTTCCAGAAAGAGGATGTGAATTGAGTTAAGTCAAGGAACCACCGTTCCAGGCAATTGCTGAGTTCGTCTATGTTTACTATAGTAGAGTATATCTGCAGGCTTCGCATCGGGCAATGGCTTCCCGGGAATGTTTTCATTAGAGACAAACCAACCTTGCCGGGAAATAACAAGTGATCAGTCCAAACAAAGTAAGAAGTAGTAATAGAAAATGAAGAGAGAAAATTATGGACGAACTAAACTAAGTTTTGCTGCACATCCCAATCAGAACCGTTGCCACGAATGCGCCTTCCAGACGTTCAATCAACACAGGATATATGTTAATCAGACCCAAAATCCACGTAAGATAAACCTCGCTTCTAAAACAGATCTATCAGCCCCTGCAGGCACCTCCTTCTGTACCAGCCCCGGTGGAAGGGCAAATGGAGTATGATGCAAGCCGACGGTAGTCCAAACGTGTAATTTAATGCTCCAAGATTCGCAAGCTTCCCTGGACGACACAGTTCTCCAGCACCGAGCCAGGAGGCACGTCAATAGTGCTACCCTCCGTGGCTACGATGATGACCGTACCCTTGAGAGTGACATTCCGGCCCAGGTTGACAGCGCCGGTAATCGTCAGGTGATCGAGCTCGACAATACGAGGGATGCTGGGAATGCGCTTCTGGAAGTCGGAGACCTTCTTGAAATCGGATCCAAGCTTGATCACGGGAACACCACCGAAGCGGTTAGGGTCCATGACCAACTGACCGTGCTCCAGACGGTAGAGATCCGATTTGACCAGCAAGAGATCGGAGCATGTCTTCACAGGCAGGAAACGACGACGAGGAACGTTGACTCCGTGTCCGTTCTTGAAGTGACGGATAGCCGCACCAACAGCGGTCTCGAGCTGGTAGATGGCCTGGTCGGCGTCGCCCTTCTTATCGGCGGGGATCGACTTCTCGTTCGCAATGATCTCCATCTCAAGCTCATTCTCCTCAACAACACGCTTGATGGCGCGGAGGCTCATCCAGATGTTATTGGTGTTGAAATACTTGAACTTCTTGATGGACTTGAACTCGTTAACGTGCTCCTTGGGAACCTGGGCAATTTCCAGCAGACGGGCCTTGCCCTCGTAGTCAATGATAGTACCACCCTTCACGTCGGCCTTGGTCTTATCGGTCAATTCCATGATGTACTCAGATTTGGTGTCAACCATGTGCTGCAGGATACGAAGATCCACCACGGCACCCAAGTTGTCAGCGTTGGACAGGAAGATGTATTCCACGCCCCGCTCCAGGAGCTTGTCAAGAGTGCCCGAGTTGTACAAGGACTCAAAGACGTCACCATGACCAGGGGGATACCAGTCCTGCAGAGGAGCATCGAAGCTCTTAGGAGCAGGGAGAAGAGAGTCCTTGATGATACGAGGGTAGCGAGATTGGTTAAAGGTGATGATGTCGACATTGTGGCCCTGGTACTTCTTGATGATGGACTGGGTGTCCTGGTCGGTATTGAACGAGTTCATCAGAACGAAGGGAACGTTGACGTTGAAAGTGCGGTTCAGGTGCTCGATCTGGCGAACGGACAAATCCAGGAATGACATGCCCTCACGGACCTCAATGACGGACTTAGGACCAACACAACCCATAGAAGTACCCAAACCACCGTTCAGCTTAACAACTGCCAACTTGTTCAGGAACTCAACCGAGGCCTCGCTTCCCAAACTATCATAGTTGACCACCTGAGAAGGCTGGGGAGGAGCAATGCGGTCCCAGTTCACTTCGTTGCCCTTGGCCTTGTCGTTCAGGAATCTGCGGAAGAGAGCAAAGAAGTTGTCCATCTCGGCCTCGAAACGCTTGCGCTCCTGAGGATCGGGGACGGTCTCTGACAGGGCATTCAGCGCGTTGCGCATCTGAGAAGCAGCAACGCTAGTGGAGGCATTTTCGAACGCCTGGGAGGATAGGGATGTTAGCGTGGAAGTCTCGAACCACGACATGGTGGGTTCAGTGTGCGAAAACTGGTAGAAAACTAGAGGCAAATAGGTATAAAGATACGCAAGAAAGCTAACGTGTCCCGGAAATGAAGATTTAAAGTCCTCAAACCAGGATCGAAACAAGGGTGGTAACATCAAATACTTTGACAACCGCTCAAATGAGTGAGAAGTATGTCTCAGGGAGCCCAAGGCAGGCTTAAAAGCTCCTGAGCGTATAAAACAAAAGAAAAACGTAATGTATGTGGTCCTTAGGAGAGTAATAGGAAGCTATGCATGCGTAAAGGAAAGGTCAGGCTGCAGGGTAGGAATATGCGATACCATGAAACTCAAGTCCGTGCAAACCATCCCCTAAGAAAAGGTGTAGGACCATGTAAAGATGGACAAAGCACTTTCAGTTGCCGCATGGCAATCGCAACCCATCCCTTCTTTTCCAAGGTCCTTCCCGACGACATTGTTCAAATTCCCAGCCCAGCGGCTAAAGAGTACTTCAAAGCCAACCACGGGGAAATACTCGCAACTGTAGCTATGAAAGTGTATCAACAAAGACTTACCATGTGAGACTGAGACTTTCCATGGTGCTTGCCGAAGGAGCCAGTGTTCGAGGTCTCGGTGGCCGGGGCCTTGAGGTGGGTAGGCAAAACTCTGGCTGCCATTGTGTATGCAATGCGGGGAAGGAGAGAGGTCTTCGGTTAAAGAAAGGCAAGAACCAGAAGGCTGTGGTGGGAGAGCTCAAGTTAAAAGGGGGGGAAAGGCGACGGGATGAATCCTGTCACTGTCGACACCGTTGGGGTTAGCTATAATGGAGCTCCAAAAAGCTTAGACGGGACGTGGATAGCAAGCGAAAGTAATGACAAAGGAAGGAACAAGCCAAGAGGACACGACACTTGATTTAAGCGGACCATGAGGAGGGGTTTGTTGCCACGCCAGAGACCGTCGATCCCTCCGGAGTGAGGAATTGGGTTTCCAACAAGGTGCCGTCATTTGGCAACCGTACCCAAATGGTGCGACAGGACCCTAGGAAAGAGGGGAATTACTTACGTGTGTGATAATGATAGCAGGGAGTTGGGAGAGAGGGAGAGATAGTTGGGCAAACAAAGGATGAGAGAGACGAAGATTAAAGAGCAAGGAAGACGAAGCTTAATACTGTTCCTATTGGTACCTTAGGCTCCCTTTGAATGGTACTCCGTGTTGGATTATTATTCAATTCTTTTTATTTTTATCGACTGAGGAAGAGAGCGAAGTGGGGGTTGGCACTTCAAGAGGACCAAAACGGTATCAATACATAGTTTTCTTACCAGCCCAGAACTTGGAAGCCCGTTGATGACGGTCCACTGACCATACGAAATCAGTAAATGGCACACCCATTCGTTCTTGTCTTTTTCCCTAGTTCCTGTACCTACTATTCTTAGCATCATCCGTACGTCAATACAGTAACTTCAACTAACTATTACGATTACCGTATATGTAAACGAAACGAACAAGAGGAGGGAGGGGTAGAAAGCGTAAGGACGGAGTATACGAGTAGTCCTGCAGCGAAGGTCGAAGGTATGTTTGTACATTAGATCGGGAAGAAAAGAAGAGATAAAAAAAAAAAGGGCCAGCCATCGTCATCTGACATGGTCTCCTTATTCTAGACCCAGCATAACCCCTTTTCTCAGGGTTCGAATTTACTAATATCTACTGAGATTGAGGTCTCCACTGCCTCGTCACATTTCCAGCTATCGTAATATTAATGAACCTTGCGCACCAGAAGTTCCTCACTTTTTCCATACTATTAAGCCATTTGATAGGGCTTCCAGAAACTTCAGCCATTCACGAGTGGTCATAGTGCTCCGTGCCCTATATCCTATACAATTGTCCAATCCCGATAAGTACACTGCGCTTGAGACATCCTGACAACCGGTGATACATTAGTCCTGTAGCCCGTTTTACACACTATTGACGGGTATACTCCGGACAGCCCAATGGTAGTGTGTCGGTTCCCTATCTCATTCTCAGTCTTCTATCAACTTCTGCCATCCCACCATCTGGTCACATGGCCACCAAAACCCGTGAATACCTATCTAGTCAATTAAGTTCTCCGTCGACAATGCAGGACCTTGTGAAACCTTTCGAATTTGGCGTTCTAAATTTACTCGGACTACTCTATAACTTATTTCCCGGTCTCAGCCCATACGTATTATTAACTTCTAAACCAAACCCCCCCCCCCCACTTAGGGTATCCATACTTTCTAAGGCTTTTTGGACGGCACTAAGTAAGTAGTTGCCGGAGTCTGCTCCTTTTCGTCCTGAGGCTTGATTCAGGTTCGATTTAGAATAAATTAAGGAAAATTATAATAACAAGAATCACGGATTTTGCCACCCCACGACTGGACAAATCAGACAGTTGGAGGTCCTTGATGCCTGATATGCATGTATGTATGTCATAGGTCACCATGCAGCTTGTTGACAACTGTCATACAACCCGAACTATAGAACACTCCTTCCCCCTCCTCATAGATCAGGATGGCTACAATTCCATGTGGATGAGGCCGTTTGGATGCGCTCAGGCCAGCATCGCAGTTCACGGAAAAAAAAAAAAAACCAAAAAAAAAAAAAAAAAAAAAAAAAAAAAAAAAACCTCTGAAGCCCCTAACAGGCACCAGTGGGCACAACATTCCAATGGTCGTTTCTCCCATCGGGTCCGGGATAAGACATGTCACGTCCAGTTCAGCTCAAGAGCCTGGTAGCTAGGCTTTACGCCCTTTTCTTCCTCTTCTCCGTAGGGGATATTAGCTCATTCAAGCGGTTTATGTACGCCGGTCCAACAATATTTAGAACGTACACTAATCATGACACACCTCCATCCACCTTTGGAGTAAAAATAATAATCACAAGAATATTTACTCATTCGACATCTAGCCTCCCAGAATTGCTAGTAGCCAACCAGTACACTAAGGATATCACATCATACTGTGGCCAACGGCCAATAACAGTAACAATAATAGGGGGGAGGGGGGAACAATATCATAAAGGCATCAAGAACACAAATACATAGGGAAGCGCAGAAGGACACAACACTCCTCATGAACGCTTCCGACTAAGTACGAAAGCCATTTAGGCTCCGCTAACGCTCCTCTTACTAAGAAAGCTGCGTCGGCCAGGCTTCTTCGAGTCTGGGCTGTCCATTACGTCAGATGCTGCATCTCCACCGTTCGAATGAGCAGTGCCGGGTCGGAGGGTGGATTCAGAACCCGAGAAGCTGCTACGAATAGCAACTGTACCACTGCCAACCTTGATCACCTTCTCCTGTCCAGCCACGGAGCCTTGGTCATCGACGAAGAATGGTGCCTCGCCGAGAACATCATCCGAGCCAAATGTAGCATGGTCAACTACCCGGATTTGATACTGCGCATCGGCCGTTGTGTTGTGCACACGGCAGGTCTCGTGCGAAGAATCAAATTGCACAATACCGCCACTAGCTTTGTGAGCCTTACTCTTGAGCACCTCTTTAGGCCCCTTAGGGCTAATAGCTTTCACAAATACACGCACGTTCGCTGACGGGGGAAAATCGGTAGCAGAGACTACGGTAATCGTAGCTGTTCCCGTTTCTCCCTTACCAGTGAGACCAAGTCTATCCCCGTAATGCGAAGCCACACTCCGAGTGCGCGAGTGTTGCAGGTTATTACTTGGAGTAGAGCTAGGCGGGGCACTTCCCTCGACTAAAACAGCGGGTGCCTCAGGCTGGGTTACCTCTTCTGGCTCTTCTGCGACCTCGTGAGTGCTCGAGGAGTCATCTCCGCGGAATCGCGATGTGATACCGCGCTTCAAGAAGGAAGCACCCTTGATGACATTACCACCAACGAATCCAACACCCTTGACGGGTGCTCCGACAATCTTTCCGGGCGTAGCAAAGGTACCGGAGAAGGTCGAAGAGCCTTGTCGTGACCGCATAACATAGGTCGGCTTGAACAGCATCTTCAGACGGATTGCACCCGACTTGCCATCAAGCGGGATCGAAACTTCCTTGTTTTGGAAGGGCGTCAACATTTGAAGATCGATGGGGGTACCGCCTAGATAATCCGCCTTATCGCCGAAATCCCAGTCGTACACATCCACGCGGAAGTCAGCCGTGATCCGTGACTTGATGGGGGTTTCAAAGAACTCATTCCAGGCTGGGTGAAGGGTCTTCTTCTGCACTTTGGTCTTGAATATCATTTCGTCATTGAGACGGAATTTACAGTATGGGTCACTGAATCCATTGCGATCGGCGGATGGGAGTTCAGCAGCATCAAGGACATCCACTCGTAAGGTTCCCATGTTGTTGATACTTTCCACCGGGTCGAGTTTCATGTGGACAGGGATATACCGAGCACTAACAATGACCTTGTTTACTTCACCACTGTCCGATCGCAGAATGAGTTCAGTTGGAGTATACTAGAGGTAGTTAGCCAAGAGCTACTTTGCAGCCGCCAGGGGTGGATTTGTTACCAAAATGCGGTGTAAAGTAGAGAGCGTGTCACCGGTCAGTTTTGCAATTGTATGCTCATCACTGTTCGCCTTAGGATCCTCCTTGTCTACAATTCGGAGCGTAATCTTCGAAAACTCGAGCTCACGCACGAAGGCATCGCCAACTGTTGCGTCATTAGTTCTCACTTCCTATTACTTGTCGAGAGCGATCACGTACTATCTTCAATCTTGGCGGATTTAGAGCGGACCTTAGGTGATGTATACGCGGGGAACATGTAGTCATCCATGAGGACTTCCACCTGTACATTGCTGCGGGAAAGCTGGACCTCGTGGAACTTGAACACCAAGAAACCAGACTCTACAGGGCAAATTAGCTTCAAAAAGAAAACTAGAACCATGGGAAGAGAAATGGAGGAGTCATGGAATTACCGTATTGTGAAAGATCTTCCGCAGCAATATAAGTTTTGGGCACTTCCTTAATGGATTTGACAGACATTGTTTCTGAGTCTTTAGTGGTGGCGGGCCTAGTAGAGTCGAGGCTAGTCTTGGGCTCCGCTGTACCATTCGTGCCATTCGTCGAGGCAGCCTTGGAGTCCGTGCTGGGCGACTTTGTATGTGAGATCTTGCGCCTAGAGTCAACGCTCTTCCGAGTTTGATCGCTTCCCTCCTCGTCATTGTCAGCGCCTTCTGTCAGATCATCCTCTTCGACTTCATCATCTGGGTTGACAACGGGCACAGTAGGGTAAAATGCAACAGTGTAGTTGAGACTTCCCTTCACTCGACCATGACCGATGTGAAGACTACTCGAGATATGCTGTTTCTCATCGTCAATTAGGTACTCTCCGTTCTCATTCTCACGGACGTAGTCTGCAGCGTTGATTTCAAAGGACCCCAGTGATCGGTCGGCGTTCATAGATTCTTCATCCATGACTTCCAGGGTGAGCTTTTCACGAGCACTATGGATAGGAACGTAGACCACCTCATCCCATTCAGGATTAAGGTTGTTTCTAAACGTCACTGTCCGAGCTTTCATGTATCCAGAGAGTAGCACACGTGCATACGGGTCAGACTTGCCCATTGTTTCCAAATTCCGGAGATCAGTTGCACTCTTAAAATGGAAGCGCATGACGCCAATTGGATCAACATAACCGGCACTGCCCGAGATGCCACCAACGGCAACTGGCTTCCACTGTAAAGTGAGTTTGGCACGTCCCGACTTCGCGCCATGAAGGTGGAACCAATCCTGGCCTCTTTCCATCATTTTGAGCATATCGTTGAACTTGATCTGGTATGTACCCAAGATGGGGTCTCTGGCAAGGTCGCGGTCGTCCTTGATTACCAAGCCGAGTCGCGCATTCTTTCTATCAGTGACCAAAAATTCCTTAGAAGCATTTTGGAAGATAGGGTTGTTGGTCCGCTTCAGTTTTTTCGTGATATGGATCTCCTTTCCATTCAAAATGAGAACACCGTAGGGGTTTAGCTGACCGACAAGACTCTTTGTACCATCCAGATCCTTGGCTTGTTCGACTGTGAAGCGAGCGATACCCGTGTTCAACTCAGGTGCCTGCTCGACCTCGCCGTTTTCAAGGGTTCGTCCTTCCAAAACCGGGAAGAAACGGATATCCGCATGAATCGAACCGCGGGATCGGCCGCTAGCCATAACCTCCAAGTAGATGCTCTCGTGCTCTGGCTGCTCTTCAAGGCGGTCCAAGGGGAAAGTTGCAGTACCCAGTTCCTTGTCCTTTCGGAACTCGTTCCAGTCGTATGGTTGGATGGTTAAGGTATCTGAGAACGATGTAATTATAACATACACCGTTTCATTCCACCTTGGGCTATCTGTGTCATGAATGGTCTTTGTGCGTCCAAGTTCTGTGCGGCCGTTCAATGAGACGGTTGCGTACGGATCAGGAGTGCCAGAAAATGCGTCCGGATTCTTCAGCTGGTGAGCACCATGAAGCGTAACAGCAACAACACCAATTGCTTGATCCACTGGATTTCCGGCCAGCATTTTCGCAATCTCAACCGGAAAGACATTGGGGCTGTACATCATGGGGCCGAGATTGTTGTGAATTTGTTCCTTGATGAAGGTTTCCAGGCCAGGGATGAAGTTGATGTCGAATCCCAGAGTATCCCCACCCAGGGGCTTGCAAACATAGTCAAGCTCCGGGCGCTCCAAGAAACAGACATCAACCCGTTCGATGTGGGGGAAGGGAACTTGGAGCTTCACCTTCACCCTCATCAAGCCGCTGCAAGCCATATCCTCGACAATTACATCTAATCCCTTGCTGACAACACCCTTTCCTAACCTGACTTCCAAAACGACCTTGGGGTTGATCTTATTCTTCAACTGACGAGCTGTCAGGTCCATAGTATCATTAGGCGTGAAACTGAATTTCCAATCCATAATAACTGTATCAACCTCCGTTTTCGGATAAGTCTTCACGTGTTCCAATCGTGGAGGCTTGGAGCCAAGAATAAAAGTTTTCAGCCGGAGACTGTCGAGCATTGCCGGTGTTGAGGTGCTCAGGACCTGGTCGACTGAGTTGATAATCGTATCACATAAAACAGGCGCGTATATAGGCCAGAATTTAACCAAGAAGCTGTTGATCCACTCCAGGCTTTCAGTATCGGTCTCCAACCGTTGCTTCGCCATCTCGCGATTGATGTCGTCTCGGAAGTTTCGCCTAACCCGACGGATCGATGTTCGGTAGTATGTGCTGCAGGCCGCCATTAGGATGAAAATCCAGCCCAAGCCCCCGCCCAGTATCGCGATGATCCAAGAGGATAAGCAAGCAAAGACGATGACGGCGGCATTGTGATACCAGTCTGGAACAGGTCAGTGTCTATGACCACATCCGCGCAAGGCCCTACTTACCGCCGAAAAACTTATCGTCTAATCTTCCTTCTAAAAAGTCCTGGTGATCCAATAAGGTCCCTTCTGCTTTGTCTTCTTCCGTTGGCTCCTCGTGGAACCGAGGAGCCCAGCCGGTTCTGTCTCGCGCCCATCGCAGATCCTCTGTCATGCCGTTTTCTCCCTCTGTCCCTTGGACAGTCTCTTTCTTCTGTTCATCAAGTAAGGTTGTTGCGGACTTCGGGGGAGGGAGGTCGTATTGGTCGGGAGTGCCATCATCCTAGAGACAAGACTCTGAATTAGGTACAGGTCCCCTTTGCGACGAGCGAGAGAAAGCTATCATCGAGACTAGAAAGTACTGACCTTGTCTGTGATGATCGCCATGCCTTGCGGCTTCTTCTCATGTTTAAGGCCTGGAGGTAGTCGCTACAATGGGCGGTCGTGCGTCAGCGAACAGAATATACTCCAAAGGACAGGTATCACGAAAGACCTACCGCTGCTGCCGCTTCCGCTTTTTCTTCAGGAGTCGCATTGGGGTCAAATTGATAAGCTGGCAGTCCAGCTTTCCTGGTTTCATCCACCAACACTTGCTCAGCAGCCGCGGCGGCCTGAGGGTCATGAGCCAGTTCAGCTGCCTCAATCGCGCCCTCCTCCTTCAACTCAACTTTTTCTCTTTCTAATTCCTGCGACGCCATGACTCTCTGGTTGGCGGGACCAAACTGACGAGCCCCAGGGTGAAATATCACCGATTATAAATCCCCAACCGATACGATCTATAGGGTTGTCAGATCGCCTGATATAGAATGTCCTCGCTTCGTGGAAGCTAGCACGGGATTGCGAAGAAAAAGTGGAAGTAGTGAGTAGGGATTTTTAAACATCGAATTATCTAAGAATGAGAGGATGGGACAAATAGGAGAGAAAGAACAAAAAAGAAAAAGAGAGGAGGGGAAAAAGAAAAAAAGTAAAAAGGGAGAGTGAGGTGGAAGAAAAGGATTCGTCAATGTCCCAGGGTGCGTTGGCGCTCGGGGAAAGAATCGATGGTTGCCTTCAAGTTCTCCGCAGCGGGGAGTGGCTGAACCCACGGTTAGGTCCGAGAGCTCTCTCTTACAGAACGGGTATCCGGGAAAGGGACAGAATTGAGGACCGCGGTAACAACAGGGTGTATGGAGTATAGGTATTCCTTACCTGAAAATGACCACCCTCGGCTGAAAAGGAGCAAACACAACCGTGAGGAAGTAAAAATGAAATCGGACGATGGTGAAGGGGGGAGAAAGCCGAGCTAAATCAGAGCTGGGAGCGAAAACGGATTGGATTGGGCAAAGCCACTTGCGTCAAGGGGAACCGTGGCTAGTGAGGAGCTGAAAGGGGAAAACGAAAAATACTCCTGATGGAGATAGAAGAGGCATGGATCTCTCAGATAGGAGCAGAGAGCCAATGACAGAGAGAAAGAAACTAAGGAATGGCTAAATCAAACCGGAAGCGGGTGAAAGAAAAACAAAACTAAATTGAAAGAGATAACGAATAATAGGAAGAATATGGTATCCTAGTACAAGAACAAGTGGTATACAACAGCACCAACAAAAAGCCACAGAGTAAGGATGAGCAGGAAAAGAGATCCGCGGTTGTGACGTCGATCTGCCACCAAATTGTCGGAGCACTGTTGAGAGAATACTGGACGGTTGTCCATCTCACTGTTCCTTGCTCTTCGTCGGAGTCGTAATCTTACCCGAATATCCCCACAAAGTGGATTGGCCATGCCACTATCGGCTTGGAAGTCCCAGCCTTTCCACAAGCAAGGATCCAGCCATGGATTTTAATTAATGCCACCCAATTCCTTATCAGCCAAACCAAAAAAGCAAATCGGAGAGGCAGATGACAATATGATCAAGTCAATTAGCCGTATAGGGAGTTCAATCAGCCGTAAGCTCAACTAATTCTAGAAGAATTGATAAAGCTACTACTACTATGTCGATAGATCGACCGATTAGCGGTCGCCGATCTAATTGACCTTTGCACCTCCACGAGCTGGTTTCAAGCTGCGCCACACTTTCCCTGCCTACTAACACGGTACCTGTAAATTAAACTGGACAGCCCTGCCAAGCAACTGCTTCTCATCCTAAACCAGTGACCGAATCCGCCCGACTCGGTCAGTAAAATCATACTAAGATGCATGAGAGTGGAGCTGAATCTCTTTCCCCTTTCGCGATCCTCGGAAGTATGGCGACAGTGATTTTGCAGTAATCCATTTATGATTCGCTCAAGCAACATAGATATCCCCCACCTTCACGTGGCTCAGAATCTCCATTCAGGTCGAGAAGATCCCAGTGCAACAATAGTTGTTCCAACTTCCAACCCTGGGTATTTTGCGCTATGATCTGGGACTCGAAGCCACAAAGATTGCCACAGGACCTAGTACTACCATCCTACTATATAGCGGAGGTAGTACACAGTAGTACCAGGTTACACGTGGCATGCAGCAGATAACACAACAATTGTTTCATCAAGAAAAAGTGTATATTCGGGTTGAGTTTATAGGTAAACAAGGACATAATCAAGCCCCCATGTGACATATCTCCCTTACGTCGAGCTTCCTGTAGTCTGGAATAGACCAATGCTACAGGTACGTACTTGGATCTACTGTGTATAATCGCAAGGTGTCTCGTTGACCTTCCCATTCAACCTTATTCTGCTTTGACCTGGAGATCTGCAGTGTTTTTCGCACTACCACCCGTGTTTGCCACAAAGTAGTCATCAATCCAGTTGTAAATCTTTGAATGTCGCACGCGTCTATTTGGAAACAAAAGTACTCTCTCTACCTACACCATGAACCATCACTTCTTCTCTAGGTGAAAATTTGCTTGGTTATCTTCCATCAACGCTACAGAGAGGAATTAAAAGGGAGGGGGGACCAGCAATCAAATAATCAAATCAGTAAAAAAAATCAAAAAGGAAAAGACTCATGATTCAGGAACGGACCAACCTCCGGGAGGGCTAAGATGGTCTAGTCGCTACCATAACATCCCATCCAACTTGCCAAAACTGTCTGATCCTAGCGCAAAGCAAATCAGCTCACCTGGCAATCCATGGTTCGCAAATGTGGACCAGAGACGCTGATCGGACAAGCACCATGGATCGCTTTCTTTCCCCCAAATGAACCGACAGCATAATGGCTACATCTTCGCACAGAACTAACCATCAACATACCACCTAGTGGAGGACGTATGTCATTCTTAGGGAAAGGTGTACGTACGACTCCGATCTATGGATTCACGATTTCTTCCAGAATAGGTTTGAATTGGTACTATTTTCGGCCGAACTGTTGTGGAAATAGATCGGCGGTTCTGGGACCCTTGTTCCTTTTTTTCCCTTTTCTTTCAAGTCAGTCATGGAGGCCATCCGTTTTCCCAGCCACTAAAGCGTGGACTGCGGCTGAGATCTTGCTTCCACCGTCAGAAAGCCCTAAAGATTTACCCTCTGAATTCCGCATCAATTCAATTTGAGATTAGTCCATTAGTTTCCTATCAAAGAGAAAGAAATGCACTACTTTATATGGTGAAAATAATTGGCTGTTTCTCTTTTCGTAGTCTTGCCCAACAATATGAGTGTAAGTAGACTGTCTTTACGGAGCACTCCGTACAAGAAGTTAGTATAGGTATACGCTCAACCATAAAACGTGGAGTAGCAATTGATTCGATGCTTACATACACTAAATAACCACTTTGCATATGTGGCTCTTATATGTTCGGACATAAAAGGTAAAAAATACCGAAACCCAGTCATGTGTCCACACAAGCACATACACATATATATATGCATATTTGCATCAAACAGGATTCAAGAAAAGTGTGATTTTGTTTACCAACCTAACGCAACAGTAATACCTGTTATCTCAATATGTAAGAAATATGCACAACTGGAACAACTGTGCGAAAAGAAAGAAGAAAAACGAAAAATCCCGCTGCATAGACTATGATATACCGGTGTCCTATATAGATGCAGACTCTCCGAAGCTATTTCAGTGGAACATCATCAAGATAGGACAACGGATCATTAAATAATGAGTTATAGCTAAAGATGCATCAATTCATGAACGAGCCTTTTTTTGCGAAAACAGATTACTGTCGTCTCAATTCATCCCATCGTATTTAGATCCACAACCACGGAGACACCGTTTACCGTCCAAGACGGATGACACCAGCAGCCATCAACTTCTGAATCTTTAGTCGGACCTGCGCATTCTGCATGTGTTCCTGCAGTGCCGCAGGGTCACTCTTGGCCTGCTGCAGAATACTCTGCATGACTGGATCCTGAAGGATAGCCATGATCTGTTTCGGATTAGTACATATTGAAGCCGCCAATTAAAAAGAGATTCACTTACGTCTGGATCGTTCTGGATTCTCTCCATGGTCTGTTGCTCAGTCTCACCCGCACGAGAGCTGAATTGAGCGTCCAAGCACTTCTGTTGTTGCTGATCAATTTCACGAGCGTGTGTTCCATCGTCATTCTCCTGCGCTTCGGTGCAAGCGTCCAAGGCCTTGTTGTACTCCTTCATGGCCACCAGGGCCTGCACTTTACGCATATAAGCACGGATGAACTTGGGATCGCGGCTGATTGCCTCGTCGCAGTCCTGAACAGCCTGAGGGAAGGCCATAAGTTTGATAAGAGCTGCGGCACGGTTGGAGAATCCTCTGGGATCCTGAGGAGCACGCTTCGTCATCTCAGTGAAAGCGTCAACAGCACCGGGCCAGTCGGCCTCTTGGAACTTCTTCTGACCGAGCTCGCGGGCCTTCTCAGCCTCGGCGGGATCAATGTATGATTCCTTCTCAGCCTTAATCTTGGTCTTTTCGGCATTGCGGAGCTTTGTAAGAGCATCTGGGGTCCGGTGTTCGGTGAGTGACTTGTTGTAGTACTCGATCGCCTGGGTGAGGTCGCCCAGCTTCTCATACGCTGTACCAATTCTTGTGTAAGCTTTGGCCATAGTCTTGAAGTCCGCTCTAACTTCACGGCCTTCTTCGATGGCCTTTTGGCAAATTTCAATAGCACCATGAAGATCACCTTTCTCGAACTTAGCGGCGCCAATGTTGTTGAGATAGGTGATGTCCTTGTTCAGCTCCCAGGCCTTTTCGTAGTGCTGAACAGCCTCATCGAACTGTCTCTTCTTGTAAAAATCGTTACCGATCTTCTTCTCTGCATCCCCAGCTTCCTGTGCCTTCTTCTTTGCGATTGCTTCTTCATCCTCGGGCTCGGGCTCAGGCTGAGGTTCGGGTTCCCTCTTCTGCTCAGAGGCGGCGGGGCGGACATCAGGCATGGGAACATCTTCTTGGGGTTCCGTGGCGCCAGAAGAGGCAGCAGCGTCGGGAGGAGCACCAAAGCTCATATCAATACCTAACAGAACACTCATGACCTGCAAAAAGCGAGGATCCTTGATCTCTTCTCCGACACTATTCGGGTTCTCCTTGATGCGCTGCAATTTAGACATGAATTCGGCGTCTGCTAGGAGAGCAGAGGTCTTTGGGTTGCTGGCCAGCTTCTGGAAAAGCTGAGGATCGTTGAAAATGCCACCGAGTCCTCCTAGAGGGTCGCCAGTGACACCGTCAGCCTGAGCTTCGGCATCGATGGCTCTCTTGACGGCGTTGAAGCCGGATTTAGCCTGGTCGTTTCCGGGTTCGATTTTAAGGGCTTCTTCGTACGCATCGTGAGCGGCCACTATAGGTCAGTTAGTAACGATCGATGAGGCAAATATAAGACATGTCGTCACTCACAGAGGTCTCCAAGACCGCGATAGGCAGCTCCCTTACGCTGCCAGCCTTTGGACCAATCCGGCTTGATTTCCGTGGCCTTGTTGGCATCTTCGAGAGCCTTCTCATACTCAGCCTGAGCTGAGTACACAGCAGAACGGTTGGAGTAAAGGATATGGTTCTGGGGTTCGATTGCGATGGCCTGAGTGAACTTGTCGCTGTGAAGCGATCAGTATAGTAACTTCAAGATAAAAAGCGGGGTAAAATACATACATAGCAGTAGGATAGTCCTTTGCAGAGAAGGCTTTGTTGCCCTCTGCCTTCAAAGCGTCAGCCATGTTTCCAGGAGTCAGTAGTGGTTGAGTTGGAATGAGAAGGGAAGAGATGTGCTGGTTGAATTCAACTCGAGTCGAGATCAACGGGTGACGGGCGAAAGCTGCGGCAGTTATGAGCTCTGCGGAGCTTCTCGAAATTTCCGAGAGAATCTAGGGCCTTAGGCATATTTTCCTGGGTCAGTTGAGAGCTCTAGGGGGCTAACCCGTTCTAGGAAGGATACTCCCGCTACAGACAAAAAGAGAATGGAAAAGCCGTCAAAAAACATCTTTTCTGCCGCCGTCGCACTTGCCAAGTTCTCCTCCCGCAGGCTCATTTTCAACCCGGTCGCGAATCGCTCGCAAATTCTTGGTATATTTAGATGTTAGTCTAATATGCGTCTCTGAATATGCCCTTTCATAAACCTTTTCGGTGATTGTACTTGTCTGACGACTCGGTTTCATCTCGTTGAAAATGGCCTCCGCGGGACCCCCCGGCGCCTCAGTGACTGGGCTAGCCTCTAAGCTCTACGAACAATGCCTGAACAACTACCCTCCTGACCAACTGTTCTACCAGCAGGACCTGCTGGGTCTGGGTATAGTCCCTAAGTCGGACCTGGCACTTCTGCTGCAGTGCACACAATCACTCGTCGATCAGAAATTGTTTCGCCTTCTTCAGGGTAAAAATGACCGATTGGCTTGGAAAATCATCTCACGGGAAGATGCCGAAAAGTATGCCATTGTCCTCTAGGGCTTTTCTGGCACCTTTCATATGATAGGCTAACGTTCTGCTTTTTACTCTCTCAGACTTAAGAACCTGAGCCCGGACGAAAGTTTGGTTTACAACGTGATTCACTCCACTGGTCGCTCCGGTATCTGGGTCCGTGCGATCGGAACTCGAACCGGCCTACACAAGTCCATTTTAGACCGTTGCCTCAAGTCCTTGGAGGGAAAGAATTATATCAAAAGTGTTCACAATGTCAAGTTTCCAAGCCGGAAAATGTACATGTTGGCTGGCCTGGCCCCTAGCGAGGATGTTACCGGTGGTGCCTGGTTCACTGACGGAGTACTCGACGAGAACTTCATCAATACTGTCGCTGGGTATATCGAGTACACGGTTAGCCGGAAGAGCTGGTTTGAAGTTCCAAGTGCGGATGCGCACCGAAGTAAGCGCATGAAAACCAGCGATGGGAGCGCGGCTGTCAAACAGGAAACTGGGCAGAAGACATTTATTCCTTTTCCGGCTGGTTATCGTGGCTATCCAACCGTCTCGATGCTCACAGGTGCGGTCAATGAGAGCGGAATTACTCCCGTCCGCTTGGGCGAAGAGAGTATATCGCAACTACTTGATATGCTCTGCTACGACAACAAGCTCGTCGCCTTGAATAACGGAGAAATGTACAAGTCGGTTAAGAACCCAGAAGCTGTTAAGCAGTCGCAGGCGCGGAAGCCCGCAGGCGAGGATAAGGGCATCGATGACCGGCTGGTTACAAATGGCATGACAGAGACACCTTGTGGTAGCTGCCCGGTGTTTAAACTTTGTGCCCCCGGGGGAGCAGTGAGCCCAGAGAGTTGCGAATATTTCGACCCTTGGCTGGAAAAGGCTCTGGGGTTCTAGATTTTGTGGCCACTCCACCCTCTTATTCTTTTCTTTTTGTTTATGTACAATGAGCGCAATGGCGCCAGTCATGTTTGCTTGCATAGCGATGGCGTTTCACGAACCTTGGGATTGGCTACGATTGAGGCCTATTGTTTTCTTGTTTGGGGAATTTATGGCCTAAAAAGTGCAATTTGGATACGGATGGTTTGGTTCTAACAGAAGCGATTGGATTGCTTCATTTCGTGGCCTAATCTTTGTACCTTGTGAAACGGTGGAAGCTCCAAATCTATCGGAGCAATCCTGGAATGAGATGGTATGCAATTTCAGGAAATATAACAGGCTAGTCGTCAATATGAAACAGGAGGGTATGATTAACTATTTAACTTGGCTGCACACTGAGGACAATACCATTTGCCTACAGGTTCCCTGGTCAAACCTACACACTTCCAGTGAAACCATTCGAACTCGCAATTTTCATTATCGCAAGCAACCATGTCGCCGTGGCTGACACTGCGACAAGTACAATAAACCCTGGTATCTTCATTGCCCTCATCTTCCTCATCATCCATGTCTTCATCTCCACGCCGAGCATCGCTGTTATTTTCGGAATCCGAGACATCGGCGCTGCTGAGTAGCGAATCATCCTCGTCTTCATCGCCGGCGGCCGCAGATGGGGACTTCTTTGTAGTAAGCTTGATACGGCCACTAGCACTAGAAGACCGTTTAGTTGGTTTTCCGTTGAGTCCAGATGATGCCTTGATCTTCTTCAATTGCTGATGAGGCGCGACTTTCTTAGTCAATGCCTTTTTTACTGTGCTTGAAGAACGTGGCCCAGCACTGCCAGCGCGACTCGAGGCTGGCGTACCGCCCTTAGGTGTACCGGGACCTAGTGAAGACTGCCGAAGGTTCGAGGATGCTGTTGGCAATGTTCCAAGTGAGGCGTTTAGCCGCCGCCGCTTGTTTTCTACTGCGCCCGCTGATGACTCACGCTGCCGTTGGTGAAAATGAGCTGTGCCACCGGCTGGAGTTGCGGGAGCCGAGCTTCGCGCAGCCGTCGGAGAGCCTAGAGTAGCCACACCTGCTGATCGGGCCAGGGACTGGTTAAGTCTCTGAGTGGCACCTATTATGACATTGGCATTCCCGGACGTAGGATGTAGAGGAGTACTGTAGGAGGTAGACTCAGAGGTAGAATCGGTGTGGAAGATCTTGGGGAGGTCTCGGTATTGGTCGCTGTTGTTGAAAAGGGAGGGCAAGGGAGGGTCGTTGGAAAGGACACCGTCATTCTGCAAGTCACGAATTTTGATATCCAATTTCTTGATTTGCCGGTCTAACAAAACACACGCTTTCTCACTCAGTTGTATCTTCTCATCCTGTAGTTGCTGCGACTTATCAAGACTCTGTAGTATGACCTTTCCGTATTGTTCTTCTTTGGGATTTGGCGTCAAACTGCCGTTCATTTTGATAAATTTTTGTAAACTTCCATCTCTGGAGTTGATCGTGGAGCGACATTCTTGAATAATCTTGTCCTTGGCCTGAATCTCTTCCATCAAGTGGTTGATTTCTGCTGGCAGATTCGCCACATCATGAACGAATTGCTCTAACACGGATGCGCAGTCCTCAGCACCGTGCGCCATATCTCAATGTAATGTACTTCGCTATTAGAGCGATTTGATTATTATGCGCCACTGATACTGAAGGAGTCCAGGCCAGCCAGCTTTCAGTAACGAAGTTTCATTAGCTGCGCGATTTAGCGGCACTGAGGAGTATATGCTGTACTCGCAACTTGCAAGGCGCGTAAACCAGGCGTTGGGGGGGGGTGGTTGGATTTAATGACCTGGGAACAATGAGCGTTGTCTGATAATGGATAAGGCGTCTGCGACGCCGGGACCTGTCTCGGCCCGGAATAATGAAGCTCCGTATGGACTCGAAATATACTCTAGCACAGCCACGTTTCCTAGAACATTAGCCACAATTCTCTTATCAAACGGGCGGGGTAGTTTCAGTCCTATAAACAAGGCAACAACGTGCGATGTTACTTTTTAGAACACATTCTTCTATGGAAATATACCCTACTACAGTAAGCTGTGCAGGTATAATGCTAATTATTCACAAGACTATGAGTTGTTTGTGTGTAATGCCTATAAAGACATCACGGGACGTTTCTTCTCGAAGATCTCGGTATTTTCTACCGCCGGAATATAGTAATCTACATTATGATCCAGCATATCAATGTACTTACCCAATAGCAACAGTATATTGCTTCAAAAAAGTGAATACTGCAGTCATCGACAACAAATTTGCCTTTCAAATGACGTCGCCCGCAGTATGACTAGTATCAACTAATGCAAACAGTGCAAACATTATCTTTTTTGGTAGTTCCCCGCAGTAACATGAAATGACCGTTTTCAATGCTACTGATAAACTTCTCTAATATTCAATTTATTTCCTTCTTGATTGGGCTTGTACCCCATTGAATCCAATTTCGTGCGCCTATCAGCTCAATACTCCTCATTACCGCAGCTGAAACCTCTACAGAGGTCCACGAACAAGACATAATGACTCAAGAAGGATCCCCTCCACTTCCGGAGGGCATTTCCTCTCTGCTTGATACCGATTTGTACAAGCTGACTATGCAATGTGCTGTCCTCAAATACTTTCCTGATGTCCGTAAGTATATTCAGGCTTCTATATGGCATAGATGAGTATCCTGACCGGTCGCTTTATCCAGATGTGACTTATGGCTTCACGAATCGTACCCCGCATATGAAATTAACGCGTGGGGCCTACAAATGGCTCCTGAAGCAAATGGACAGTATGTATAACCTTGTCTGGCTGAGCGAGTCCAATAATAACCATGCAATTCCTGTAGGACTTGCGAACATTCGAATCACGGAAGAGGAGATAAAATTCCTAAAGGCCCGGTGTTCGTACTTTAACGATGCGTACCTGGAGTTCCTGACCACGTTTAAACTGAAGCCGTCGGAGCAGATTGATATTAAGTTTACACCTGTGAAGGATACCAGCAGTGACAACGACTTGGGCGACGTCGAATATCTGGTCAAGGGTCTTTGGGTTGACACGATTCTGTACGAGATCCCACTGTTGGCATTGACGAGCGAGGCATATTTTATGTTCACCGATAAGGATTGGGATTACAGTTGCCAGGAGGAAAAAGCATACCGAAAGGGATGCGCACTGCTTGAGAATGGTTGTATTTTCTCTGAGTTCGGGTCGAGACGACGCCGTGATTACCATACTCAAGACCTGGTCATGACTGGACTGATGAAGGCCGTAGAGGAGGGAAAGCGGCAAGGGTGGAAGGGCAAGTTTACAGGTACAAGTAATGTTCATTTTGCGATGAAATACGGTGTCGACCCTGTTGGCACGGTTGCGCACGAATGGTACATGACCATTGCTGCCATCACAGATGATTACGAAAATGCCAACGAAGCAGCCTTACGGTACTGGCTTGGCTGCTTCGGTAAAGGAGTATGTTTCACTATCTGGAATACTTGAATGAATCTAACTATAACCTAGGTCCTGGGCATTGCATTGACGGACACATTCGGCACGCCCGCTTTCCTCGATGCATTCCGCAAGATGATTCCTGCATTTACCACTGCAGGAGTTGGCGCAGTTAGCACATTGGCATCTGGACCTTCCACAACGAACGAGTCGAATATCCAAAGTGAGGCTGAGACAAAGGCCCCAATCGTTGCGCCACTTAATAACGACGGCGCTCAATCCTCTAATGAGACATACGCTCATGTCTACACCGGTGTCCGGCAGGACTCAGGAGACCCTGTATACTTCGTGAAAATGGTGCGGGACTTCTATGACAAGGAAGGCGTCACGGATAAGAAGACCATGGTATTTTCCGATTCTCTCGACATCGAGCATTGTCTTGAGTATAAGATCATTGCGGAGGAAGCTGGATTCCAGCCCGTTTTCGGTGTTGGGACCTTCTTCACTAGTAAGTACTACCTTGGACCATACTCTTCATACACAGAGGCTAAGTATAACCAGATGACTTCACAAATTTATCCAACGGAGAAAAGTCAAAGCCACTCAACATCGTGATCAAGATCGCGACAGCAAACGGCCGGCCGGCTGTTAAGCTTAGTGATAACATGGGTAAAAACACCGGAGACCAGCAAAAAGTCCAGGAAGTGAAGCAGAAGCTTGGATATATCGAGCACGAGTGGGAAGAAGGCGATGAGTGCAATCGCTGGACTAAACGCTAGTTAGTCGCAATGAATAACATACTGAATAGAGGATGGAGACCGGCTATAATATGTGTTCCATATAGAAACTCTTGATAGAGGGCGGGTTCAAAATACTTGGCTCAGATCTAGAATAGAAGAGGATTTCTAGCTTTGGTTGGGTGGACATCGTGCTGAGATAAATTAAACGTATCGCTTGCTCTTGCAATCATAAAAGGGTATCGCTAGTACCTTGCCGTGACTGTATGCGGACTGCATGACGAAACTTCGTAAGGCTGACGGATATATATGCGAAAGAAGTCAAAAAGTAAACACACGCCGCATAACTAGAACATTTCTTCACCAGAATTAAACCCCAGGTCTTTATCCAAATCACCCGTGATATCCTCCTTCCTAGGCGCATGTGAGCTTTGCTCTTGTTTATCCGAACATGAGAAGAAATTTCTGCTGTGCTCCTCCAGCGCGGAGCTCGAGAATCCAATACTGAAATCTGCTCCTCGCAAGAAATCTTCTGCCCAGTCGATATCAATATCCGGGAGATTCGATGTGTCGGGAAGTGGGAACTCTGGGGTATATGAGTCTATATCAAAAAGAGTTGAAGGGTTGAAGGTGATGTCGGGGAGAGGTGTGTGTGTGTGAAGGGCGGAGTTGAAGTGATCGTCGAAGTCATGAGAGGGGGTGAGGTGGTCTTGCTTAGCTGTAGATGGGGAACTATTGTTGGCTGCCGTGGTTACTGTATAGTTTCGCTTGGACCATTGGTCTGAGGAGCTTGGCCTGGGAAGCTCTGGGCGAGATTCCGGTGGCTTATTCACCGTATCTGTTTTTATGGGTGAGATCCAGTTATCTGGTGCTCGGTCCTCCGATGGAGACAATGTCTGTATAGTGGCGGCATCGCTCTCCCTCTGGTCTGGCTCCGTGTATTGTGACTGGTTTAGATTGATACTGTTGGATTGCATGATTTTCAACAGTGTATTCGCGCTATCGGACTGGACTCTAACAGCGGCTTCGATGTTGGCAACTTCCATATCTGCTGCTGGGTAGAGCTCTTTCAATCCCTGCAAAACCTGGACACACCGGTGGAAGTTGCGTATGCTGGCCTCTCGCACCGTAGGATTGTCAGACATGGAGTTTGCTAGGTGTAGTACGGTAGCAGGTATGATGACTGTCACTCCAGACTGTGGTAAGAATCGAGTGAGGTTCAACTGGTTTAGACCTTGTATGATATGTGTAATTCCAATAGCGGCATCGTGCATTTTGGACCGTGCAGCATTGGCCAACTCCATACGGGGCTTATTTTGGCCTTTGTCGGATCCATAGGCCCATGGTCGATATAAAGCACTTATAGTAGCATGATACAACATTCTCACCATAGCACCATGGAGAAGTAAGACCTCTTCACCATCGTTAAAGTTGGTTTTGGAAGCAGGGATGAACTGTGCATCCCTTGGGAGAGAGTTAACCCACGAGTCGAGTCGCTGGCTGCACCGTGCTAACTCCGATTCTGAGGCCTGCCTGGGAGCTAAAGTGATAGTAGTCCGGTTAGTTATACCGAATAGACGTTGTGAGGGCGAGTACTGGGCAAAGAGCACGCGCCCGATACATTGACAAAGTTTGGCTTTTTCTATGAACATAGTTGCTAGACGCTTCTGGTGGGATGTATCTTCTAGCTGGCGGCAATGGAACATCTTTATGACAGATGGGTGAAATGGTTCATCCTCAAAATCTTCCAGTCTCAACATTGGAACGTTACTAGCCCCTTCGTTGACTTGTGTAGGACGTCTCATGCCTAGAGAGATGAGCCGGTCCCGGGAGTATAAGCTCCACCACAGACGTATTCTTAATCGTTTAGTTTTGAGGTCCATGGTGGGGGATGTTGTAGGATCCCGATTCAGTCCGATCGAATGAGCTTGGGTGTTGCAAATACCAATCCAGTCCCAGATATCTCTGTGTGGGTGGTTTACGTGATCCGTCCAGTATGTCATCAACAGTAAAGTCTGCAAAATGACTATTCGATCTTCTTCGCAATCAAGGGAGTAGAGTAGCTAACTCTCAGTTAGCTCTAGCGAATAAATATACCTTCTGTTGGCCTCACTCTTAGTCGCGTATAGAAGGCGCTCCGCGCAATTTTCCTAGTTGCATATCCAGCATCTTGCAGATGTTTAAGATCCACGAAGGCTGTTGCCACAAACATCACTGCCTGGAACAGTAGGAGGCTGATATCACCGTTTGGATCGTTCTCCGCAATGCACCTCAGGAAATCTTGCAGGTTTAGCACTGGCATAAAGCTATGCACCCATTTGATATAGCATCGCAATAGCTCGTCGCGCAACCCACTCTCTGGAACTGAGAGAGCTCCACGGAATCGTAGAAACTCCAGATCTTCCGGAGATATATGAGAAGGCAGCGGTTTTAAGAAGCGTGGCTCCTCATCTAGAATAGCAGTCAGAGGGTCGAAATCAGGGTCGATCAAATCTTGCACAGCAGCGACCATATTCTCAAGTGGTAGAGACGGCCGAACTGCCCGGTTCCCTAGAGTCCGCCATGTCGGGGATGGTTTGGAGCCTTGTAGCCAGGGAGTACGTGCATCGTAGTCCAGAGATGTGTTTCGTTTGGCCATAGGCTCACCATAATGTATGCCTGCGTCTGACACCGTACGTTTTGAGGTTATCATATTGAAAGTGATCGAATAGATAAGTTACTACTGTAACTACTACTGCAGCTACGCGAGCAAAAAAAAAACAACATCAAATATGAAGAGCTATAGACTCGGCCGGAGCTGTATTTGCACGGTTGCTAGCATGGAATTCAATAGCGATCTCTCCGGCAGTTGAGGGCGGTGTTCGGAAGGTTCCCCGTGTGGGGTAGCTGTGGGCTTTTCCCCGCTATTATGATGTTGGGTACATTTAAGTGGTCAGGTACACGGCGTATTATTATACTATGTAGACATGTTGTGCCCTGAAGAATGACAAGTATGGAATTGATCAGCTTGGCCCTTGTCGGATCTGATGTTCGGTAGTGTAGTAGTGCCTGAGGTATCATTTATATTTTTTGCGCAAAATATAGATTAATTCTCTGGTAATTGATAGTACCTCATTACACTATTGTAGCACAATTATTGAATCCTCTTTCTATCTCCCCTTTCTGCCTTCTTCCTCTTCTCTCTTCTCCTCACTTATTCTTCGAAATGAACAAAGCCTTTTTTCTGAAAAACCATTCGTACTTGTTTTTTTCCCCTGAATTTTCTCTGGTAGTACTAACTACGAAACTGTAGATATATACGATATTCAAGGCTGGACTCTCAGGTAGCCTTTGCTTACATGTATTGGACTGCACATCGTTGAATTCTAGGGGATTTAATTCAGATGCTCAGTTATGCACCGGTGGAATGTCATCTATGCCGCCCATTTTCGCTAGTTGGGGGGATTTGGAGAAGAGAAGCCATTCCTACACGAGTTTGAATCAAACCCGGAAGGATATCATGTCATATTGGGGTTTCATGTTCCTTAAGACACATCAGAGATGATAATGCGCGCCACACAAGTCCATCCTAGAACATATATGCCCATTAAAGCACAAACCATGCAGTATAGTACAAGTATTCATTACTTAACACCAAGGAAAATAATAGCAAGTTCCAGTCTATTCCAGAATAACCTTAACAAATCACCTGACTCCCAAAGGATGTTATATCACTGTGATGGTTGCGAGCCACGGATGCATTCGGATATTTTGTTTACATACTAAGTTTTCTCATTAGTCTTTATTATGCGAGCAAGGGTCAAGGATACTGCGAGAGTATAAAGGATATGTGTCGACTTACGGAGGGAGGAGAAGTTCGCTTAGGGAGCTGTAAAGGAAAGCGACACCGGCCTGTGATGGGAGAACAATCAGAATCATCACCTTGACAGATACTGTAGACAGAGCTATTGAAGAGATATGGACTTACACCGAAAACGAGAACGCTTCTCACAATGGTGGCGTTCTCGGGGTGAGTGACTTCATCGTATGCGGCGCTGAAAAAGCTCTTCTCCTGATGAGCAGAGACGACGCGCTGTCTGGGAGCCATTGTTCCGATATGAAGGGTAGGGTGAAGATCTCAAATGTTGGACTCTGGATTTGATGTCTGTAGAGAGGAGCAAAGCTGGAGTAATCGTAATGAGACTGCGGAATGAGAGGTGAATAGATGGGCTCCGAGAAATCTTTCGGCGCTTGGCGGCTGCGTTTTTAGCTTACCGCGCCCGCCGTATTGTCGTCGGAGCATCTGCGCAACCAAATGATGAGAACAGGTTCCTGAGCGCGAATATAGAAAGTTTAGGGTCAAGTCGCCAGGCCTGTCTTTAGGAAGACTTGATTTTTACATTCTGTACCTTTTGCTATCATCTTTCGCTGGTAGGCTGCGTGGGTTTCTTTTCCGTGCGCACTTCCCACTGCGCAAGCCGCAATCATGACCAGCATAGATGAGCTTTTTAAGGTATGTTATTCGTGGTCTATATCGGAGAATTCAACGCTGACGAAGTAAGAAACCGTCTTCAGCAGCCAGTGCTAAGCGCAAATTGGACGCCACAAAAGACCCAAGTACTCTTCGCCCTTCCACTCCTTTCGCCACTTACTGACCCATAATACAAAGACGAACTCTACAAGGCCGCTAAATTAGATGCGAACGGTGATGTCAAATCCAAAGGAAAGGAGCCAATGGTTAAGGATAAGGAAGAAGATGAAGGTGAAGCTGGCCCGGAGCTACCTCCTGATTTCGATGCCGAGGATATCCCAGACGACGAAGAAGGGCGCTTTTTCGGCGGCGGAATGGAGCGCAAAACGGCCCAGGCGATGCAGTATATTGACCAGCAAGATGAAGGGGATATTTCGGTATGCATACACAGGCTCACGAAGCTACAGTCCTTGAATACTAAGTTTGGACTAGCCCGAGAAATTCGACGCTGCGTGGTTGCGACGATTTGCTCTCAATTTCGAAAAGAAGATATCCAAGAATGCTGAGCTGCGCGGGAAATTCGAAAATGACCCTCAAAAGTACGTGATGCATTTGCGCTCTGTTCCTTTCGGCTATACATAAGCAGCAGCTGATTACATGCTCAGGTTCATGGCCTCGGAAGCCGATTTAGATGGCGAAATAAAGGGCCTATCGATTCTTTCAGAGCACCCCGAACTGTACGCCGAGTTTTCAAAACTGGGATGCGTGGGTTCTTTGATTTCTCTGCTCTCCCACGAAAACGCAGACATTGCAATTGATGCGATCCAAATTATCAGTGAGTTGACAGACGAAGACGTCGAAGCTGAACAGGATCAATGGGACACATTGGTGAATGCAATGGTACTGCGTGGATTCCAATACCTACTATAATATATACTGATTTGCTCCCTTCCTTTTCTAGTTGGACGCAGACCTCATCGAACTCTTAGCCCAGAACTTGTCACGGTTGGACGAAGAGTCCGAGGCCGACAGAGCAGGAGTCTACTATGTACTGAGTGAGTGAGCCCTGCTCCGGCCCTAATATGTAAACAAGACTAATTTATGAAAAGGTGTCCTGGAGAACCTTGCGTCGCAGACATCACATGCAGAAAAAATAGGCCAGGACTCAAATCTGCTACCATGGCTCCTCGCTCGCATCCAGAGGAAGGAGAGACCGGTTAGCCAGAACCAGCAATACTCTGCCGAGATATTAGCCATACTGTTGCAGTCATCCTCCAAGACGCGAAACACATTCATCAGTCTCGAGGGGGTTGATGTCCTTCTTCAACTACTTAGCCAATACCGCAAGCGTGATCCAGAAAAGGATTCAGACGAGGAAGAATACGTAGAGAACATGTTCGACTGCTTGATCTGTCTTGTCGATGAAGACTCTGGAAAGGAAAAGTATATCGAAGGTGAAGGAATTGAATTATCACAAATCATGTTGAAAGAAGGGAAATTCAGTAAACTACGCGCTTTGCGGGTCCTGGATCATGCTCTAGGTGGACTGGGAGGCAGACCTGTCTGCGAAAGGTTTATCGAAGCAGCATGCTTGAGTACAGTATTTGGAATGTTCATGAAGAAGGTATGGTTCCTTGTCTCATTCAAGACATTGAGATTGAAATTAACAACGATCAGCAAGAAAATCAAACGACAGAGCATTTACTGGGCATCTTTGCGTCGCTTCTGCGCCTTCTACCTGGGGGTTCAGCAGCCCGTATCCGTACTCTTGCAAAGTTTATGGAAAAGGATTATGAGAAGATCGAGAAGCTCATCAAGCTGAGACGCGATTATGCTTCGAGGGTGTCCCCGGTTGAACAAGCAATCGAAAAGGAACGGACGGAGTTCACTGAAGAAGAACAAGAGATGATGGCGGTTGAATGGCTTTCAAGACGATTTGATGCTGGTCTATTCTCTCTACAGGTCTGTCGCTATCTTTATCGGATGCTGGCTTAGAATCTACTGACGATTTTGAAAAGCTCATCGATGTGATTTTGGCCTGGCTTGTCGCTGAAGATGACGGTGCAAAGCGAAAGATTGTATCCCTTTTGGCGGACCGTGACGAAGGTCTGTCTCTTATACAGAGCACACTGAAAGGCAAGCTCGGGTCTAGATTTCCATTTCTTTGGTGCATTATACTAACATCAGCGTAGAACAAATTGAAGGGCTTTCAGAGCAAGAACCGGGACAGAAAGAGCACAGGGAAATGCTTGAAACCCTTTTACAATTCTTATAGATGGCCTTTCCAGCTTCAGGGAATTTGCCAGCTTGTAATATAATCAATTATCATCAATCAATTTCGCTTTGCAAAAGAATTGACCACGTCTTTAATGCCTGAGGTATGAATAGATATCACGTGAGAATATTGTATTAGTCATCTACTGGCGCCAAGCCTGCGGTCGAGGCTAGTGGCGGCTCTGCTCAAGATCCATCACAGCCCGGAGGTGAAGACCAGCACAGCGCCATTCACTCCCATCATCACAATTTGTCTGGGATCTCTTTCTTTCCATCCACCGGAGATTCCCAGCTCACTGCACCTTTCCCAGTGTTCATTCTTGACAAGCCTTCACTGGTGTCACTGCATTTTTATAGCAGCCAGACCGCCTGTGAGCGGGATCTTTTATGCGAGCGCGTCGCGCTGTTTGCGCTCACTGATTGATATTATCTATCCTAGGTAATATTAGCGGTTGATCTTTGCCAAAATGGCTAACTACGATGATGCCTACGAGGATGAGTTCTATGATGATATGGAAGAGGGCATCACCTCGGAGGATTGCTGGACCGTCATCTCGTCTTTCTTCGATACCAAGGGTCTAGTCTCGCAGCAGTTGGATTCTTTCGATGAATTCATTTCATCAACGATGCAAGAACTCGTGGAGGAACAAGGTCAAGTAACGCTCGATCAGACGCTTCCGCCCGACGAAGATGAGGTCGATCCCGTCGTTGTCCGTCGGTATGAGCTCAAATTCGGAACAGTGATGCTCTCTCGTCCCTCTGTTACCGAGGGTGATGGTGCTACCACCATCATGCTGCCCCAGGAGGCTCGTTTGCGGAACCTTACCTACGCTAGTCCCCTGTATCTCGGCATCACAAAACGAATAATGGAAGGCCGAGAGCGATCGGTTGCTGATCGTGACGACGAGGAGGTCGAGGAAGACGAGGATAGAAAGGCTCGTGGTACCTACCTCCAGTGGGAGCAGAAGGAGCTGCCCGCCGATCAAGCGAAGGAGGAGACTGTTTTCATCGGAAAAGTGCCTATCATGCTCAAGTCCAAGTATTGTATCCTTAAGGATCTGAGCGAGCAGGCTCTATACAACTGGAATGAATGCCCTTACGACTCCGGTGGTTATTTCATCATTAACGGAAGTGAAAAGGTTCTGATTGCCCAGGAGCGAAGTGCAGGCAACACAGTCCAGGTCTTCAAAAAAGCACCTCCAAGCCCAACACCTTACGTCGCTGAAATCCGAAGTGCCGTCGAGAAAGGTTCACGGCTTCTTTCTCAGCTGTCTCTTAAGTTATTTGCGAAGGGAGATAGTGCAAAGGGTGGATTTGGTCCTACTATCAGGTCGACATTGCCTTACGTGAAGACTGATATTCCAATCGTTGTCGTCTTCAGAGCGCTTGGTGTGGTCTCCGATGAGGACATTCTCAACCACATTTGCTACGACCGTAATGATATCCCTATGTTGGAAATGCTGAAGCCTTGTATTGAAGAGGGTTTCGTTATTCAAGATCGTGAAGTTGCTCTAGACTTCATTGCTAAGCGTGGCTCTTCTCAGTCTAGTATGAACCATGAGCGTCGTGTGAGATATGCTCGTGAAATCATGCAAAAGGAGCTGCTTCCTCATATCTCGCAGAGCGAAGGCAGTGAAACTCGGAAGGCATTTTTCTTAGGTTACATGGTGCACAGACTTCTGCAGTGTGCTTTAGGACGCCGAGATGTTGACGATCGTGATCACTTCGGAAAGAAGCGCCTTGATCTTGCAGGTCCCCTTCTTGCAAATCTTTTCCGCGTCCTGTTTACCCGAGTTACTCGTGACCTTCAGCGTTATGTCCAGAGATGTGTTGAGACAAATAGGGAAATCTACCTGAACATTGGTATCAAGGCCAGCACACTGACAGGCGGCTTGAAGTACGCTCTTGCTACTGGTAATTGGGGTGAACAGAAGAAGGCCGCAAGCGCGAAGGCTGGTGTGTCGCAAGTGCTCAGCCGTTATACCTACGCTTCTACCTTGTCACATCTTCGCCGTACCAACACACCTATTGGCCGAGACGGTAAAATTGCTAAACCTCGCCAACTGCACAATACCCACTGGGGTTTGGTCTGTCCAGCAGAAACTCCTGAAGGTCAGGCTTGTGGACTGGTCAAGAACTTGGCCCTTATGTGTTACATCACCGTTGGTACGCCTAGCGAACCTATCATTGACTTCATGATTCAGCGTAACATGGAAGTCCTTGAGGAGTTCGAGCCTCAGGTTACGCCAAACGCAACAAAAGTCTTCGTGAATGGCGTGTGGGTCGGTATCCATAGAGATCCCGCTCATCTTGTCAACACGATGTTGTCGCTGCGGCGACGGAATATGATCTCTCACGAAGTCAGTTTGATTCGTGATATTCGTGAACGGGAGTTCAAGATCTTTACCGACGCTGGGCGTGTCTGTAGGCCATTGTTTGTTGTTGACAACGACCCGAAGAGTGAAAATTGCGGCGGTCTTGTCTTGAACAAGGATCACATCCGCAAGTTGGAACAAGACAAAGAATTGCCTCCTGACCTCGACCCAGAAGATCGCAGGGAACGCTACTTCGGGTGGGATGGATTAGTGAAGTCGGGGGTTGTGGAGTACGTTGACGCCGAAGAGGAAGAAACTATCATGATTGTGATGACACCGGAAGACCTAGAGATTTCCAAACAGCTTCAGGCTGGTTATGCCCTTCCTGAAGAAGAGCTTCACGATCCCAACAAGCGTGTTCGTTCTATTCTGAGCCAAAAGGCACATACCTGGACGCACTGCGAGATTCACCCCAGTATGATTCTCGGTGTTTGTGCCAGTATCATCCCCTTCCCTGATCACAATCAATCGCCCCGTAATACATACCAGTCTGCAATGGGTAAACAAGCCATGGGTGTGTTCTTGACCAACTTCGACCAGCGAATGGAGACAATGGCGAATATACTCTACTACCCCCAGAAGCCGCTCGCGACAACACGTTCAATGGAGTTCCTGCGATTCCGTGAATTGCCAGCTGGTCAGAACGCTATTGTTGCCATTGCATGCTATTCCGGCTATAACCAGGAAGATTCGGTCGTTATGAATCAGAGCAGTATTGATCGCGGCCTTTTCCGCAGTCTCTTCTACCGTACATACACGGACAGCGAGAAGATGGTTGGGTTGACAGTCGTTGAACGTTTTGAGAAGCCAATGCGACAGGACACAATTGGTATGAGAAAGGGGACTTACGATAAACTGGACGAAGATGGTATCATTGCCCCTGGCGTACGTGTCTCTGGTGAAGATATTATCATTGGTAAAACGGCTCCTCTGGCGCCTGACGCGGAGGAGCTCGGCCAGAGAACCAAAGCTCATACCAAGCTGGACGTCTCCACTCCTCTTAGGAGTACTGAGAGTGGTATTGTGGATCAGGTTCTGGTGTCCACCAGTAATGACGACCTGAAGTTCGTCAAGGTCCGTATGAGGACTACGAAGATTCCCCAGATTGGAGACAAGTTCGCTTCACGTCACGGACAGAAGGGTACCATCGGTATTACCTACCGCCAGGAAGACATGCCGTTCACTCGGGAAGGCGTGTCGCCCGATTTGATCATCAACCCTCACGCCATTCCCTCGCGTATGACCATTGCTCACTTGATCGAGTGTCAGCTTAGTAAAGTGTCATCCCTGCGTGGCTTTGAGGGTGATGCGACGCCCTTTACCGATGTCACTGTCGATTCCGTCTCTCGTCTGCTCCGCGAGCATGGCTACCAGTCTCGTGGATTTGAAGTGATGTACAATGGCCACACTGGCCGGAAGCTTGTGGCGCAGGTATTCTTGGGACCTACGTACTACCAACGTTTGCGCCACATGGTCGACGATAAGATCCATGCACGTGCCCGTGGACCAACTCAGATCTTGACCAGACAGCCAGTGGAGGGTCGTGCCCGTGACGGTGGTCTCCGATTCGGAGAGATGGAACGTGATTGTATGATTGCGCACGGAGCCAGTGCTTTCCTGAAGGAGCGTCTGTTTGATGTTTCCGATCCGTTCCGCGTCCACATCTGCGATGACTGTGGATTGATGACTCCCGTTGCGTAAGTAATCTCCCTTGTGCTTATTGATCTCCATTTGAGCTAACAACGAGTTGCAGTAAACTGAAGAAGGGACTCTTCGAATGTCGACTGTGCAATAACAAACACAGGATCTCTCAGGTGCATATCCCGTATGCAGCCAAGCTTCTGTTCCAAGAGCTGGCCTCGATGAACATTGCCGCCCGCATGTTTACCAACCGCTCTGGAGTGTCCGTGCGGTGAGGGGCAGTCGTGAGGGGTCCCGTCCATCTATCTGTACAATCGGCTTTATTTCTTTCTGTTACGATCCGGTCTTACGTGGTGTTCTACACTTTTAATCCTTATCCTCTCAAGCTTTCTGTGCTGTCATCAAGAAAAACAGATTGATTTGGCATTTTTCCGGCGTACCGTGGATTCGAGGGATGTTTATTTATGGTTTTGGTGCTTACCCTTGCTGCTGGGGATGATTCTGGAGAAGCGAACATATATCTGTCTCTTTCGTCGTTCACCATATTAAGATAAAATTTAGAATACTTTTGGAACCCTGTCTTTACCCTTCATCCTTGTAGTTGCAGCTGTTCCCCACTGCTAGACTCCCGGCTCTTCATCTATCAGCAATATAACAATTGAGTGTGGGTAGTCCTATTTTCACTTGGCTAGGAGGGGTGGGAACAATTGACCCCTCCATGAGGGCGAGAAAAAAAAGAAAAGGGAAAAACCTTAAACACGATCCTGCAGGAAGCGAAGCAATCAGCGCCTTGATTTCAGGAAGTTGATGTGATAGGACTTGCATGGCGGTAAATCCAGGAAAGTGGTTGGATGGCTGGTTGGCTGCAGTGAACACCTCGCAGGGAACACTGTCGGCCAATGGACCCCGAGAGTTACCCGCCGACTGGCACGATCATAGGCGGGGATTCAACCTTCATTGGTCTGGACTTACTCCACCCCCTCTCCAAGAATAGCAGAAGGCGAATGTAATGTGACGAGAGGATGACCTGAGGCCACCTCGAAATCACTGCCTTAAAGATGCCACAGCCGCCAGGAAGCCTTGCGCCGTCTTCTTTTCTCCTTTCTGTCCTTCAGCAAGACTGGTCTTGTTTGGAGCTGCCCTTAATTCTTTTTTTTTGTTTGAAGACACCCGTGCACTGGTTGCGTTGGGTTAGTTGTTTTGATCAATTCATTTTACTATACCTTAATAATCGTTCTATACTAAACCCCTTCAATTTGATATTAACGAAAAAAATCCATACTTGAATTCCCCTTACAGACGAGCTGTGCTCTCTTATACCCCAATCCAATCACACACATTTTATTTTATTTTATTTTTTTTTGGACCGTTCAACTTGGTCGCTGGTCGACGTCTCCATTCAGCAGCTTACAATCTTGCTCAGCCTTGTTCATCTTGTCGCTGAGGCTTTTTACCATCATTCTAATTTCGTTGTCGTGGACTGGATCCGCGAGCACTACTGTTGGATACCGCAGTCAACCAACCAACAAACCAACACGGACCTGATTGAATCGGCTCTGGTAGTCCTTCCATACAAGTCTTATATACCTTCCACATCTGATACGGAAGAGTGCTCTCATCTTTTACTTCGACACGATCATCTATACGTTCAACGTGAATATTATATTAATCTTTAGTCTCAATCTTTCAAAATGTCCGCCGTTCAACTCAAGTTCACTCTTCGGACCTCGTCCAATGTCAAGACTGTCCACCTGCTTGGCTCCTGGGACAACTACTCCCGTCAGATTCCCCTCTCCAGGGATGAGGGCAAGGCCGGCTCATGGGTTGGTAAGTTCCGCTTCCAGACCTCCATGCTTAAGCTCGGCGGCCGTTACTGGTACTACGTGAGTCTGATCGAATCCTTTATTACTGTGGATACATACTAAACCTTATCAGTACATCATGGATGGATACCACGTCTCCCATGATCCCGCCGTTGAGTACACCGTTGAGCCAACCACTGGCCGCAAGCTGAACATCCTTGATGTTCCCGGAGGCAACAAGAAACCCAGCACCTCCTCCACCCACAAACCTAGGAGGACCTCCGAGGAGGTGGTCAAGGGCCGTGCTCCATCGCCATCTAAGATTCACCACCCCAAGCCCTCCAAGCCCTACGCCTCCCGCCAAATCCGGGAGACCGACTTCGCTCCCACCATGGAGGATCTCACGATGCGTTTTGCGGGCTCTCGCCTGTCGGACGAGTACTCACTCTCCAACAGCCCGCCCAGCTCGGTTGGCTCGTCCCTGTCTTCGCGGTCCTCTCGGTCCTCCGGCAGCACCTCGCCTTCTTCCCTTTCTTCCATGAGTGACCCAGCTAGCGTGTGCCGCTGTGAGCGCTACGGTATCACTCGGAAGGGTGACCGTGTCAAGCTCGACTGCGGTGGTAGCCGCTGCGGCTACGTGACCGAGTCGTCCGAGGCAAGCTGTTCCGAGTCTGACAGTGATGAGGAGTACCGCCGGGCCCGCCGGGGTGTTCGTCGCCAGGGTATCGTTGTGCGTCGGTAAATCGTACAGCTGGTGGAATTATTTCTTGCAATCAAATTTTTATGGAGATGGATTGATCCCCACCCCCCGACCGGGCGGTGCCAATCAATATGGCATGTTACAGTTATGCCATGATGTTCAGAACAGCCTTTCCTTAGCAGTTCTCCGAAGAGAACATTTACTTCAACACAGAAAATCAAAAAAAAGGGGGGGCGGTTTGGAGAGAGGAAGGAAAATTATACCGGATCGTAGCCGTGCTACGAGCAAGCCGGACTCGCTTCGTGCTAGCTGAGGCTGAAGTTTAGGAAGGGGTAGGAAGTCTGGGGAAGAGATGTGTGGGAAGGTATATTGTGGTGGTGAGAATGAAGTTAGGGACGGAAGGGGAAGACAATGACAATGTTGCCCTGTGTCTGATGCTACAACAGACCAGCCAGGTGAAACGCCATGAATGAGTGATGATGCTTTTTATCTGGACGGCGCAAGTGGCGCTTAACCCTAAGCCGGGGATGGGTACTCGACTCCGTCCAGAATGAACGACGAATTATGCTCCTTGGATTAGCTTAAATTTGAAAAAAAAAAAATATAAAAAAAAATTGTTTTTATTTACACCGCAAGTTCAGATGCATAATAATAACTGTCAATTAAGCAGTAAAATATTGAATCCCCAACACTTATATCACTCGGATCATCCGTGACAATTCCCGGATATCCCGAAGAAGTCATGTCCCTGCAGGTTGAACCTCCCCGTAAGTCACTCCTCTATAGCGGTATAACATCGACAAGATAACCCAGTATAACATAACCGTACGAGACATCTACATATCTACCCATAAAGCCTAACGCGCAAGCCACCTCCACCACAAACATATCCCAGAAACCGCCAACTATACAACTAATGCAACAAAAATGACACCTAGTCCACTCAAAGCCCTCTACAAAGAGAAAGACGACTCGAAAATAACAACAGGCATCTACATACGCCCCCCCAAATCAAACAAAAGGATATAAGAAATACCCCATCTGTACGTTATCCTTAGCCCCTACCCTCAAGACCACCCAACTTAGCCCAACACAAAACAAAACAATAAACTGAATAACACCCTCAAAAAGTCATAAACATCCATGACAGCGCCTTCATGCTCGGCAACTCACGCATGGTATCCATCCCGCAAATCCAAGACTGTCTATCGCGGAACTGGGTCGTAGTGGTTCCCAACCACTGTCTCTGCCCCGGGGTGAACATCCTCGAAGGTCCAGTGGAGGATTGTTGGGGTCTCCTGGCATTGGTGTATGAGGGTATATTGGAAGAGTTTCTACGCGATCAGGGATCGACTTGGGTCGGTGTTGACGTCGAGAAAGTGATGGCATTCGGAACGAGTAGTGGGGGCTTTTTGGCCTTGAGTTTGGTGCATTCATTTTTCCTTCCTTTCGTTTTCCTTCGTTGATTGGATGGTAGAGGGGGAGGTCGTCATGTAGACGAACTTGTGACTCAGGGGATATATTTAAGTACGTTCAAACTGACAAAAACGAAGGGCTACGACGTCTCCAAACCACCCAAGGCTATTCTCGGTTTCTACGGTGCTGTCCATTTCACGCATGCGTTCTGGACAACGCCTCTTCCGCATGTGGGCGAGAAACTACCGTCTGGTTCGGCCCCGGAGTTTATTAATCAGGTTTACGGGGAGTATCCCGTCCTCACGGATAGTTCTATCTCGCTCGAGGGCCAGGCAGAGTCTGGACGGGCTATGGGCCCGGATTTTTGGCGTCCCCGGGATGCGTTTGCGTTTACGCAGATTGCGAATGGGCTGGTATTGAGTGCTTGTTTTCCGGGACGGGATGTGAGGGAGATTGATCTTATTTGTCACATTGGGGAAGGGTTCCCTGCTACGTGTATTGTGCATGGGATTGAGGATCAGATGGTTCCAATATCCCTAAGTAGGGAGTTGGTGAAGGTTTTGAGGGAGAAAGAGGTGGAGTGTGAGATGGTGGAGGTTCCAGGGGAAGATCATACGTTTGCGATGGAGATGGAGGTCGGGTCTAGGACATGGGAGGTACATAGAAGTGGGTTTGACTGTTTGACTTTTTGGAGAGGGTTGTTAGTCGGGTTTGGTTTATGTCAGATTGGTATTGGGATAAAGAGGGTGAGATGTTGTATTGTATTGAATGATGTCCCGGCCTGCCAGTTGCATACATCGAATATTAGGATTAATGAGTGTCGAGGCCACCGGCCTGAAAATCAAAAACTCCGTCCATGCGAACATGTATACACAGTATACACCCAGTCCATCTCAATGCTAAATCGCGGAACCCAAATAACGAATCATAGATCGCTGTCGTAGCTCGTCGTCTCTCGTGACCGGCGCCGACAACCCTAGTTCGGAGCCAGGGGCATAACGAAGAAAAATAAACCGAAATATAGATAAATGGGGGAAATATTCGAACGAGGTGCTTGAGCTCGTAGAAGGTGAAAAGGACGCTTTTGTGGAATAAAGGCTTGGAAATCGAATACTCGGCAGGGTAGAATAATTGATTGCGAGTGCTTTTAGGAACGCCTCTCATTGCAATTGCCGCAATGTAGATGGGTCAACGCGCAGCGTATGTTAGGAGCCCCGACTAACATCCCTTGAAGACGTCAGAAGCCCTTACTGGAATAACCAGAATCGGGCCAATTGCAACCTTTAGATGGAAGTCCATTCCGTCGTGCAGCATGCTTCTCGCATGCATATCCGACGAGAACGACCTTCTCCTGCACGACATGGCCCCGTTGTCCATATGCCTCACACGGGTCAACCGCATGCTCAAAGTAAAGACAACCACACACTGAAAACCGCTCTACCACTTTAAAGCACATGGTACGTGGTCCAAGGGCTTGTCAATTCAAATGATGAAAGGAGAGTAGTTTGATGTGCAACGAAATGCGACAAAGATAAACAAATCGCCTGTCAAAGAACGACTCGAACACAAGAGGGAAAGGAAAGATTCAGAGAATGTTGTCGATAAAATACTGATCTAGAAAGGGAAGATGCCAAAGTTCGATCATTTATAAGGATTGGCCTTCAGGCGACCAGACCATCATGGACCACAATTGGGACTTGAAATGGGACAGGTTAAGCCGGAATCAAGCCTCATGCCTTCTATCCAAGCCCGATTAAAGGAGTCAAACACCGACAGATGCAAGGCATCCGCCAAAATCAACGGTTTTTCATTGCCCGAAGAAAACGTGTATCGCGGCTAGGGCAAGCGGTGCTAAAAAAAAAAAAAAAGAAAAGAAAAGAAAAGAAAAAAGAATTGAAAAATCAATAAGAAAAGGAGCCAAGTGGTGAAAAAAATAGTAGGACCCAGTCTGTCGGGCAAGGTTAGTACCATCCATAGTGGTTACGCTCCAATCCATGTAGGGCCGACGACGGACGGCACCGAGCCCTAGTTGATCAGTGGGGTTCCTCGGGCTGAGTCCTTCCAGTTTCAACTCACAGTTCAGAGCAAATCAGACCCGTAACTTCAACCCATAGACACATGCCTCTGACTAATGCAACTGTTGAAGAAGGTAATTCTGAGATGACAGCTGATGCCAATTGCAAACATGACTCTAACTGGGCATAGTTACCCGCTTTTGATGGGACCGTTGGAGCCAAGGACAAGGGACCTTGCAAACCCCCGCCATTCTTAGTAGATGGTGCAGCCTTCGCAAGCGCACGTCCTCCTGTTGCAGGGGTTTTCAGCTGAACTGTGGACGGATACTAATATAGCATGGGCATTGCTTTTCTTGCTTTTCCTGTTTCGAGTCGTAGGGCCGAGTAGAGCATGGGGCGGTAAGGCCACCGACCGAATCAAAACCGAAGATTGGCAACCGGGCAACGTGTGAATCCTCCTTCATAGTCTAACGGAGATGGGTTCCATGTATGAGAGGACGGAGGAAACCGGTGGATTAACACAAGGCTGACTTGGTAGTGGGGAGAAAGCAGCTGGACCGTTGCCCGTGAGGCCTATCATCTTTCCCCGGCGGGTCACTGGACCAGAGCATGGCCTGAGTCAAGCCCTCATTGGCCAATCATCGTGCCCCGTCGCCAGGCAGCCATTTCTGGCCTGATATCCTGCTTGAGGACCTTTGTAGTATGCCCTACGAACCCCTACCCATGGTACGACCTATTTCTCTTGAATTTTTTCTTATATTTTCCCCTAGCTATCTTTGGATCTTTGGTCTTACATCCTTGTATCAGGTCTATACTATGACTCAAGTGAGATGATAGATCCCTACTGGTCCTACCCAGCTGAAGAGGCTCTTCTATTGAGCCCTTAGTGTGATTTTGAAACATCATAGTCTGTTTCACACCTATTGTTGTCGATGTATCCGAGCTATCAGCCGTAGCGGCTATCTTTCGTAGACTGAGGTCTTTCTCACTTGCCTTCTTTCTGATGGACTCAAGTCTATGGATATCCGTCCCAGTCTTTTTCTGGATCAGAATGGTATGAGAGCTAGGACGCATTGCATTCGACTCTGTCAAACCCCACTAGTTCAAAAGTAACTATATTGTTAGCGTTATTTGGCTTCTCAGCCTTATACTAGTGCATCATAAATTTATTTGCTACACGTTTTTATGAACCTATTGTTATTTTTCAAGCCACCGGCGCATCAATGCTAGATCAGAGAACTATTTGAACAAATCCAAAAGATTTTTTTTATATTTTACCTTCTGAGGGCTCCCTATCTGCAAGATAGCTCATATGGGCCAAACATTGAAGTTGATCGAGAGGGCTATCAAATTTGAAAAATAAACGGGTTTACAGCAACTTATACCCCCCGACATCCAATATCTATTTCTAAATAGCAGTCCTCCGCGAAGTCCAAACCTGAAATGCTCCATGTACTGTGACAAACAGCCTCAACTTACCCCTGGATGTATGTCAAGTCGATCATCTTGAGGACAGTAAAGATCATCACTAGGATCAGATACGTTCCCCTTTATGGCCAAGGCAATCAATAACACCATTCTCAATTTTTATGTTTTTCGTCTTGTTGTCCACTTTGAAAATTATCGATCAGAGAGTAAACGGATGAATGCCATATTTAAGAATAATACTTACAGAGCGGTGCGGGCTCGGGGGACTTAAAGTCACCATTAGGATGGTAATCGCAGTAGAAGACTCCCTGGTTTGGTCTCAACTCGCAATTCTCTATAGTCACTTTATGTACTTTACTATTAAATTTGTAAGCTACCCCTGCTCATCAATAATGTAGGGGACACCATACTCATCCTTAGCCTTCGCTATATCAGTACAGCATTGGGTCAGTTCCAACTTCGTCGTGATTAGGTTTCCAGCTCCGTCACGGCATGTTGCTTTTAGGAACGACTGCTTCACTTTATCTGTTGGTTCTGGTCCATGTCCCACCTCAGTTTGCTCCATCTCGACATCAGAGCAGCCAGGGAACCAAAACGGAATTGCATCATAGGCAGTAGCCGATGCCGATAGAGAGTAAAGGGCAATCCAAAGAATCGAATGCATGTTTTTAAAGCGGAGTGATTTTTCACATGGAGTTCTGAGGGTATACTCTGGGAGGAGCCAAGGTGACTCTACTTATATACTAATGGTCGGAGTTTCGAGACAGAAAACAGCCATCTATATCCATTTTGCGCCATTTCTTTGTATGTGTTTGGTTTTTTTGCCTTATTGTAGAAAGAGATTTGGATCCTTTCTTTTTAACCAATGGGGTGACCAGATATAGTGGCAATATTTTTCAGGTAGGTGCGGCACATGAAACGAGATATTGCTTACAATTGTTGTGGTATACTATTGTCCTTTTTTTTCCTTCAAGGCCTATTATAACATGACAAACAGTTTGGTACTTGTGGTTAAAAGAGGTCTGGAATGCTTGTAGATCCAAAGACATAAAGAACAATTCAACCAAGTAACACGAACTAGAGTAGCTGCTCATTCAAGTCAAACAAACTGCGTATCATGGTTGTGAAATCCAATGGGTTCAAATAAAATGCGACATAGAGAAATTAAGGCAAAGAGAGGAAGGAGTATCGAACATTGGGGCACATGAAATATGGTGGGAAAGGGATCATATATCTAATCCCATCACAAGAGGTTTAGATAGGTAGGCTATTAATTCCGCGGCGCTTAAGAAGAGAGCGAGTAAAAAAAGTCTTACACGGAATAGGATTTTCAATATCCCAAAGGGTTCATATTATAGGATCCCGTACTGAAGAACAGGGTTAGGAGACATTTAAGGTATAGCCTAGTGATGCTCACCCTCAAACCGTACTAAGATAATGGTTGAAACAATACAAAGTACAGGGGGAAACAAAACGAGCTTTGTCTTCAATACGGGGTTGGAAAACAATTGGGACCACATACTGAAGTCCACTCCTTGATGCTCAGAAACGAAGTCACCCACTATACCAAGATAGGAGGACGAAAGCGGCCCTTCGATGAATCAAGGGGAAAGAAACGTTTCACCAGTAGATTGTATTGTTGATATCTCTACTGTGAAAGGCTCTTGTTAAATATCAAAAGTAATTAAAACAATGATGAGTGGGCGAGGTTCTTACGTTATATTATTCTATCAGATGATAAGTAGACTTCTGATGAACAAGAGTGCGATACATATAAGCACACCTTCTTTTGTAGAAGGCTGTACTAGTTTTATTGCCTCGGCAAAACGATCCCAAAATAACTGTATGTACATCATCTCGGCCCTCCCAATATATCAAAGCATTTCAAGACATTGTCGGCAACGTCTACAACTTCGCCTTTAACTTCTTCGGATTCACTTTACTCAACTCTGCAGGATGGATACTCACTGAGCTCGATACCATCGGTTTCTTCTTTCTTTAGTTACTTCAGCCCCAGGCAACTACTACATACCAATTTGTCGTCATATTCCACGTCGCAGCGGCCACGAGAGTTATCACTCAGTACATTGTCACTATCGGAAAATAGCTAGAAAATATCGAGATAGGGTGTTATACACTCTTTCTCTGACCAACTGTTGTACCGTTGTCGTTCCCAAAACATGAGTTAATAGGCAACTAACCTCGGACCCCGGTTCATGTCGCTTCCAGCTGGTCATGCTTTGCGCTACCAGGAGCAATCTTAAAATCACCGCAGGCGGGAAGATCATAGGATGCAGCCAATCCTGGCAGAAGTAATATTAAGACAACGGGATTTGGGCGCATCATCGCTAGATTAAGGAGACTCTGAATGTTTTAGTTGAAGTCGGGTATGCTTCGAAAAGCTCTTGTTCTACCTACTTGTCTATCTATCTATCTAGCACTGATGGCCTCGCATTCACTGAGATTTGGTGGCACGTCCGCACCTTGATGCGTACCAATGGAATGCTTCATCCTTCGTTAGAAGTGATCCTAACGCCCCACCTTTGAAACAGGAACCGGACAAAGGCTAGTGGGTTCTTTTACCTTTTAAGGCTAGAATATTTCCAGTCATGTCGAGGCTCTTCCCGTCTCTTGAAAACTTTCAAGACGACCTTAGTATCTGTACATATAAAGAAACTCTCGGGTGTTTCTAAACTACGTAAATAAAATATTCAGGAGTACTGAAATCCTTGTTTTACGAGAAGATGGAATGGAGGGGACTGACTGGTCTCTCCTTTGTTAAATGAAGTTCATTAACACTTTATATCAGCAACCAACTCTTGTTTATATAGGAAGACATCGGGCTTTCTTAGTGTACTGGGGCCAAAAAAAGCTAATGCCTATAATGAGAAATGCAGACGAGAACAATCTCATATGCAACGATAGACCTAACATTAGATTTACTCCCATCTCATACCAGTAGAGGTGCTATGATAGGATTTAGTCGAATCGGCAAAGAGCTAGCACATTGCATCGTACTCGCATTCTTGGCTAGAAAAAAAAGATATCTAGGTCGAGAAGCCTGTGCAGACTCTGGTGTGTTTCAGTATATCCCTAACAAGAGCTCTCTTAGCCCAGACACCATGTATAATGCCAGATGTGATAGCAACCTATTGACCAAGTGCTCTCTGATGTTCCTATGCCGTGAATTAGCATCGGGCCAGTTGGAGCGGCAGATTCCTAGAACCTAGGTGTTAAGATTCGAATTGACTTATGAGCGCAGATAAATGACTGTCCCCCGTCTTTGCATGATTCACATCTGACCTGGCTTGACAGCTTAACGTGTGTATTTGTTTCTGTTACACTAGTTGAAGTCAGAAGCCGACTTTATATATATCTATACTGGCTCTTCTGCGCTAAATTGCCGAATAGTCGACAGATGAAGAAACATAGCGTCATCATTGATCCCCGTGTATTCCTTTATCCGCTTGTCGGCTGCCAGGAGGCAGTATGAACGGTTGGGTATATTGATGCATGATAGACTCAAAAATCTTAGTTGAAAATCTATATCGTGTGTTCTGCATTCGTCAATAAAAGAGCAGAGGGAAAAGCCTCGGTTTCGGAAATCTACCCAGAGACCGTTAAATAACTTTTGTCAGAGAATGCATTTCCCGAAAAGGGTCTTTCAGGAGGAGTTTGTATCTAGGTAGGTGACTAGATAGTAATCGTCGAAAAATCGAAAATGAACATGTGGGGGTATGACAAAATATCTTCTGGGATGACAATATTAAGAGTTGAAGACGTTTCTATACTACCACGTATAGCGTAATATCTCCCTATTCCCTCGTCACCAAACTAGGATATGATTCAATCTATTCCTATTCACTGGCCATGAGGTATGAATCTAATAAGTTACAATTTACTCTCAGCCCTGGCTATAGATGGCTAATGGCAGTACATTCCATTCTCGTTTAAATTTGCAATAGAAGGTAGCGTAGCTTATGTGGTGCATTTCGGCTCTTTTATATTCTTTATCTTAACGTCTCATACTAAACGCTAGTATCCCATTATACATAATACATTCAAGAAATGATACTGACCCGTCCTTTGAAAATTAAGCGCACATGCTAATGCTAGAACTTTTTATCAATCCCCGATTAGACCGACCCAAGAGCTCCGAAACTCAATCCCTTTGCCAGCCCCAGCCGCAGCATACGGATGATATCTTCTCCCTTGGCATCCTCTGGTACACCGGCACGCCAGTCCCACCCTCTCTCATGATATGCCGAGCGGGAGTCATCACCGGAACGAGGCACCAGCACGCCAGAGCTGACAGCAGATCCAGGCCCCGATCGGTTACGTGCGGATTCAATCATATCGCTACCGATGAACGAGAATGTGCTCGACGCTGTTAGTGAGGATACGGACTTTTTCAGAAGTGCGCGTGGAGAAGGTGGGAGAATGAAAGAGTCATCAGATGTTGAATTAGCGCCAGCTCGCTTGGAAGACTGATATTCGATGAGTGTGGAACGGAAACACTCCTCACATTGAGCGTAGACGCGAGACGTGACTGTTTCCAGATCTTCAATGGCGGACAGAACAGCGGACTGTTGAGACACAGAAAGAGTTGGGGTGGATTCTGAAATATTGGTTAGCAGTAGAGCGCTTTCAGCGTGAATGCCACAACTTACGGTTAAGGAACGGTAACACTTCCCCAAGCAGCGTTAATAACCCATCAACTTGCACTGCAGAGTCTCGGCCTGGGTCGTAGAGGCCACCGTAAATGCTGTCCGCAGCACTCGTGATAACTGCGACCAAGGCTTGAGCAGCTGCTCGCTGTCTGGCCAAGGGCTTGAACCGTGGCCGTTGCCCCTCTTGGAGACCAATAGCTTCGTCACGAGTCTCGTAGAATCGCCGCAGAGTAGCATACCCACTAAAGTAGAACTGAAGGATACCGGCAGCTTCTTCATCAACGGTAGCAACGGCAGAAAGGCATGCCTTAGGCTCCCTGACCAAAGAGTGAAGTTGTTCATCAAGATCTGCAGGTGCGGGGTACGCGCGAGACTGGACAAGACTGTACGAGATAAGAAGATCAACCACGGTTTTGACCTTACGTCGGTTGTGTGCTCGGGCATAACAGATCAAAGCGAGGCCATATTCATCGGACTTGGCAACGGTAAGGTCACCAAAACGCTGCAAGTAATCATCAGTACGCTGTTCTTCGTCAAGATGGGTTAATTGCTAACCTCCGAAACTCTTCTGCCTTCCTTCTCCAGACCCAGCTCAGAGCAAAGCAACACGGCCCTGTCCATTTGTTCCGCGGTGTCTAGCGGTAACTTGTCCAGTAGCTCTGACACGCTCTTCTGCATCTTTTCCTGGTTATCCAAGCGGCTTAGAACCTCTAGTGCCAATTCCCAACCCTTTCGGACACCATTTTCAATATTTCCTCGTTCAAACAATCCAGATGCGTAGCTGCTTAGAATATCGTCCTTGCCAACACGGCTCTTTGGCACTTTACCATCTTGACCATAAGAGAGAACCATTAGATCATTCGCGCTAAGACCTGTGAGTGGCTTATCCCCAGTTGCCGTACCTAACCAGCCACCAGCAGATGCAACTTCAGCCACAGCGGATGCAACGCAAAGCGACCATGTCTGAAGCAATTCCAACACACCATCAACGTTTCCTTCAAAGACGGAAGCCAGTCCGACCTCAAGGCTGCTGAGGGAGTTGATCCGGAAACCGCCACCATCAGATTCTGCATTTGTTGCACTGCTAAAAGCGCGATCAAGGCGACGAAGATAAGCATCTTCAGCGCTAGATGATGGGGGTTTAGATACCCGAGGACGGAGAAAATGGATGCTAGTACTGGCTCCAAGTCCGTTGCCTTGTGCTGAACTTTCGTCATCATCCTCTCCGTCCCACCAAACTGTCAAGCTGATAGTGGCCTCGACCCAGTCCTGTGCGCGATTCATAACAGCACCTGCATCGCCGAGGATTATGCGATACATAGATCTTAGGTTCTGGTAAATCGTCCATGGAACACGGCTTTCCGCCATGCGTGCAGACTGGGCAAAGGAGAACTCGGTCTTCGCACCCGTAGGTTTTAGTCCAAAGTTGATCGCCTGGAAACGATTGGGCGCGACTGGAGGCTCGGAGTCTTGCTGCTCACCTCCCTCAGCAAATTCTTCTAGATCTGCCACCGCTGCGAGCACACGTTTCCTATACATGGCCCACTCGGCCCCCTTAACATCCCAGTCACCGTGCTGAGTACCCGGACACGAGTCCAAAATTTGCAGGGCCTTATTGATACATTTCTGGATATTTTGTAACTGTGCTCCACGATATCCTGTTTGCGGCAACCCATCTTCCAATGCAGACCTGGCGTAGTTGAAATCTGAAGCGTGCAAGACACTCGCGGCCTCGGAAAAGTGACCGCGCAATACAGCGGCATTGAGAATTTCCCAAAAGTTCGAAGACGCAGTAGGATTCGGTTCATATTCTTTCAGTGCTCGCAGTTCGGCTGTTTGGGGATAATTTCTGTTAAGCCAATCAAGAAGTACCTTCGGTATAGGGATAGGCGCGCTTGCTCTCGGGTTGGTAGGCACAAGATTTCGCGGTGCAGCAAAGCCGAGGGGATTGTGAAACCCTCCTGGCGTCTCACTGGAAAGAGGAGGGTGGTGAAGCTGAAGTAATAAGGAACCCAGGAAGCTCGCTTTTATTACATTAGGGGCATGGTCGCCGGGGCCCACTTGTGCACTTGACGTCCGAGTCAGGCCCTCACGCTCCACATACGTTTCCCAAATATCTGTTAAATTACTGCAGACGTCTGCCAGAGTGGCCGAAAAGTCCACATCTTGATATTCAGCTTTCCGCGCCTCATCATACAAACGACATATTTCATCCTCCGTGTTGATTATAACGTCGCTTGGCTCTTCAACCGACGCAATATGCGATCTTGAGGCAAAGTTCCGCACAATTGACGGCATTGTAGAGTCTTTCTTAGGGGATAGTTTCGTTTTGCGCACAGGTGATTGATCCGCCCACTTCTCGTCGAGCTTAGGTCGCTTCGCATTGGATGGGTTAGAATAGATCGGTTTTCGTAAAGCGTTCGAGGTGGACGGTGGTAGCGCAGGTTTTCCAAACTGGGAGTCCAGGAAGCTCAGGCGATTACTGCCTCCAGTCGCGTCTCCTACATCCATTTCTTCTTCCTCCGGAGAGGTCTCCTCGTCCTCTGCATCTTCATCCATTTGCGATGAGGCAAAGTTATTCAAAGGCCCAATGTTGGTTGATTCACCGAACTGACTGTCATCTGTCACACTGAAAAGGGAAGGAGTAAAGGACTTCGCTGGCGCTACTTTCTTCCCCCGGGTTGCTGGATAATCGAAGGATGCAATAGAGGACCCGAAGATGCTGTCGTTTGGGTTGATGTTACCGGACTTTGTAAAAAGAGACCCGGGGGAGTCAAACTGCGATCTAGAGCTCATCTGAGAGCTTCCAAATACGGTGGACGGAGGAGGGCCACGCGGAGTAAAGGAGTTGGATGCCGACGGCGGACCACCCGCAGGGGTCTCAGATAAACTAAATAAGCTGCGAGATTTGTCCGGAGTCGAGGGAGGACTCGAATCGAAAGGGACCTTAAAGCTCATATTGGTTCTGCGCTGAGCTCAAGAGATTGGTTGGTGTAACGAGAGAATAAACAAATTATTGATTCTTAATAGATTCAGATCTGCAGAATCGAAAAGTTACTACCCCAGCTTGGGGCAGACAACTCGTGCAGGGCAGGCACCTAATCTCAGGCGCGCACGATTAGCGATCAATTCGCCGTAGGATAAACGGAAAATCAAGTTATGAAATCGGAATTGTCCACCCCAACATGTCAATTGTAAGTCCCTCACCGTCGCCAGTCCGCCCATCAACGCGCTCGGGTCTTGGCACAAGCTGCTATGTCATGTGATATCAGGTGACTTTAAAGTCACATGTGAAACTCAATGATCACGTGCGCTAAGGCCCCTTAGGGCAAGTCGTATTCGCTAGGCTAGCCTACCATTAGTTTGCCCAAGGCTCAATCCTATTCTGAGGGGACCAGCAATCGCCAAGAACATAGCCAGGATGCCTCTCCGGCTGATAATTGGATGACCGTCTAAAGATTTCCTGTTTAAGTTCATTCTTCTGACAACGATGATGATGATCAACGCTAAGCCTTGTGAATCTTGTATTAAGAGTCCAAATATATTCAGATGCTGGTGTCTGGAAAATGATCGGTCCATGGATATAAGATGATCGAAAACACCCCCTGAGCGCTAGGTACTATATTTCATGTGTTATAACTTCTCGTACTCATTCCCCATGTACAACAAGCAATTCACATCGGCACGATGAATCCGCCCAAGTCAATCTCCGATCATGAGTCTCTAGATGGGAGTCTTCTGAACTCCCGCGATAACTCTCGCCTCTACCATGTATATCATACTATGTTCCACCACGATTACACTGTGTTGTCTACCGACAAGACGCCCTTGTTCTATATAGACAACTCATCTTTCACCCCGAAAAAGCCGGATCTAACGTTTCATGCCGGCAATGATAAGAACGCGCCTGTTGTGGGAGTTTCAAAATTCTTACATTTCTCCCGACACATGAAATTAGGGCTGGGTGACCCACAGAATATCAACACCGTGGAGTGGGAGGACCTAGTCTCCCAGAATCTCAAGCATAACAAGTACCGCTGGCAAATGACTGTTCGAGGCGTCTCCGGGGCAGAAAGACGGGCGTTCATGTGGAAGAGAACGCACTCTGTTGCAGTCGAGGGCTCTTCAGCTTCTATATGGAGTAGCCGCAACTTCAAGCTGGTCGATGAGCAAACCGAGCAGATTGTTGCAATCTTTACAAGCAGCGCCTTCAAAAGCGTCAAGAAAAGTGGCAAACTTCAAATCAGTTCGAACTATGGCCAGGAATTTGACTTAATGGTTCTCATCACTGTACTTTCTTTGTACGAGAAACAAAGACGTCGCGAGAATAGCAGAAATGGTGGAGGTGGCGGCGGCGGCGGCGGGGGAGGCTAAACGGACTGATTTCTACTCTTCATCTTTTCTCTTTACTTCTTCTTCTTCTTCTTCTTCTTCTTCTTACGTTGAGATACCAAGCTCTTTCCAACTGTGTTGTTATGACTATGATATGATATCCTGGACTGTTTGACGATATACCTAAATTCTTGGCGCTTATTTGTGAATATGGTGATGACATAATCCACTTCCAATGGTTAAAGCCAACCTTAACTAGTAGGACTATCTAGTTGCCTAAGGAAAGCATTTCCTTTTTACTTCTCTTTCCTAGTCGGGGACTCGAATCCTCCATTACATTCCAGCAACCATCAACGCCCCAGGGTATGTCATTATAAGCGGTCATTGTGCAACAGCATCTGATGGCGCTACGAAGGCCCCATCGGAAGTCTCGCCATGGCTGTTTAGAATGCAAGCGGAGACGAGTCAAGGTATGTCTAAATTGATATGGATCCTATATTTTGATCACTTGGTCTGACCCTTCCAGTGCGATGAAACTCGACCAGTATGTTCCAACTGCTCCAAACGGCAGGCGGAATGTGAATACGACTCCGTTAATTTCCTCCTATGGACGAACGAGGCATCACATCGTTCAATGTCGGTCATATCCGAGTCTAAGGGACCTCAACTGCCAGAACCGACGCATGAATCTGCCAAAGATGACGCCGCTCACTCCCGCCCCAGTCTGAATCTGAACGATTTGGAGTTGATGATGCAATGGTGCAACTCAACGTACCAGGTCTTAACCCGAAACGAAAGGACTGATCCCGTCTGGCGTCTCCGTGTCCCCGAAGAAGCCCTGCTACACCCCCCTCTAATGCATGGGATCTTGGCTCTTTCGGCAGTTCACATCGCACGGACGAGGGACGACCATCGTCGTCCGGAATATATCAGCGCCGCTGTTGTCCACCAGAATGAGGCGTTGGCATCTTTCCGGGAGTTGCTCGATGACATCAATGACTCGAACGCGAAAGCCATGTTCGCCTTGTCAGGTGTAGTTGTTGTTTACGCCTTCGGGTTTCCCCATTTGACCGACTTGGAAGACCCATGGGCGTGCATTGACGAGTTCATTCAAGTTCTGGTGCTAGCGCGGGGCGTGCAGCAAGTGCTGAATCAAGCAACGCCGTCAATACAGTGCAGCGACTGGGCGATCCTCCTGCGCTTGGATGAATACATTGACTCTCTGCCAAAAGATGCCATTGCACCCCTAAAGCGGCTCCGCGAGCTAAATGCTTATTGCGGTGCCCGAGACCCAATGCACGATGTCGACATTTACAGTATTACTATTGATAACCTAACGGACATCACGGCTGCAGCTTATGGTGGCCTGTCTTCTATTACTGTTGCAGCAAGATGGGCAATCAAACTAAAGCCCAAGTTCGTAAACCTAGTCCGAGAACGCAGCCCTCTCGCACTGGTCATCCTAGCGCACCTATGTGTGCTCCTTTATCGTCTCAAGTTTGACTGGTGCATTGACCAGTGGGTACACAGTCTACCAAAGGCAGTATGGCGGAGTCTAGATGACCGCTGGAAACCATATGCTCAGTGGCCCATGGTAGAGATATTTGGACCAGGCTTCCGATTTCACATGGAAACAGGTTGAATCAACTAAACTCCACTCATCAAATTCTAAGTCAGTGGGCATATGACGCACCTGATAGAGTACTTTTCTAAGTGGTTGGGTGCCCTGTTTACAGCTCTTTTTGGTTATCATGGACCCGAATCTAGAATGAAGACTTATCTAACGTTCACATGCTATCCAACGCATTGAACAGGCAAGCAAGGCTCACAGACTTCTAGATCCCCTTCATAGCCATTAGTCGCTCCTCACCTGACGCAAGAGACAATTGAATTCTCTTTGGTGGATGAGTGGATGATTAGAAACACGACGGTTACCAAAAACATAAGAAGTCCATCGTACACGTAGATGAAAACTTCGTTCCGGAGCAGGAAGCCCTCCGAGCCTTGGATATACTCTGCAACTGGAAAGCTGGACCGGATCAGAATCAGAATGCTCGAGAAGTGCAATGTGAACATATGCTTCTGTCAGGTAACGTTATCATCAGCGGATTCTAAGGTAAGACGTCTAGCTATTCTTCTCTGAAACACGAGTGCGCTGACGAGGAAAACCCGAAGAAAACTACCTGTACGAATAGACCGCCCAGATTGATGTTTCCACCTGTGCTCTTGGAGCTCTGCACTATTACACCCGCACCTGTCGTCGTCAGCGACTGGTGGTTTACTCCACTCTTCTGACAAGGCTCACCTGATGCCTGCATCAGGAAGCTGAGAATATCTCCTGTGATGAAAATCTTCGTTATCCAAGTCACCCGAATTGTTGCCAATTTCTGTCCTTTCATCAGGTGGATGATCCGGCCCAACCCCATGTATATACTAGCGGCATAAAGCGCGCGTGCGACGAGCAGCAGGGTGCTCTGCATTATGTATGGGCCGATTGTCCAATCTGGAGATTCATTTGCCGACAGAACACGTCCTATGTATCCCACCGACTCAACTGACAAGGTCAGATATCGCATGGCTCTAGATTGAAAGCAGGAAAACTCACGTCCCAGTTACCAGCGGGATGAAGAACCATGTTTTGGTTCTTAGTAGGTGACATGTATGAAGAATGGAGACAATGAAAAATAGGGCCGCAAACAATACGCCTGCTGCCTTGGAGGGATAGTAGTGATAGGCGATCCAGCCTCCATTCTCTGACCCTACCATGTTTTGATAACTGTACAGAGGATCGAAGCGTTATAGCCCAGAAAGACAGGGAAAATAACCAGGCCCTATAACCGACTAAAACAAAAGAATCTCCTCATCACTACCTTATTATGCACTATAAGAAGATCCACAGTCCTCCCTCATATATCTTGTACCTTTCTCCAAAACAGGTTGAACCCTAGACTCCGGGCTTGCATGCTCCTCCATGCTCCTCCTACAAGTTAAAATGGTCCAATAATAATGAATGGTATTACTGAAAAAGGATGCATTACTTCGTACCGGCCACAGTCTTATCGTGAGATAGCAAGACATGATATGAGAGACGTATCCTAGAGAAATATCGGTGATTCAACCTGTCCTACCAGGCTATCGTAAAATTAATACACAAGATAGAAATTTATGCTCACCTTTTACAACTTTGCTTGCTTCCCTGTCTCATTAGTTAACACATATCGATACCGCGCCTTGCCAGCATCCATATCAGCCAAAGCGGCATTGACATCCTCCATTGGCCTCTTCTGAATCCACGGTAACACACGCCTCTCAGCAGCCAACTGTAGCATCAACCGAATATCTTCTGGCGACCCAATATTCGACCCAGTAACCTTCACGCCCTTCTGAATCAAGGACCAAGCCGTCAACTGCGGAAGTGGCTTCTCGGGCGCCCCAACCTGCACAAACGTACCATCCACCTTGAGCAACCGCAGATACTGTGTCAACGGCATATCCGGCGCATCCACTGTACAGATAATCAAATCCAGCGAGCGCGAATGCGTCCTCGCCCACTCCTTCTCCTCGCCCGTAGCAATAAATGCATCTGCCCCAAGTCCTTCAATCGCATCTTTCCGTTTACTCGACGTCCGCGAGATCGCAACCACCCAATTACACTCCAGCGCCCGAGCAAACAAAATTCCCAAATGCCCCAGTCCCCCGATCCCCACGATCCCGATCGATTTCCCAGGCCCAGCCCCGTACTTCCTCAACGGCGCAAAAACAGTCACCCCACCGCAGAGCAGCGGTGCCGCCTCGGCCGAGGGCAACGAGTCGGGAATCTTGAACGCAAAATGCGCCGGGCCCCGCCATCGCGTCGCAAAGCCTCCGTGTGCTTTGCTCTTGTCGGCGTATCGCGAATTATACGTCCCCGTGATCCGGGGGCAGTAGTTCTCCTGTCCGTCTGCACAGGCGGAGCAGTCCGCTCGCAGACAGGCCATGCTCTGCGCGCCGATCCCGACACGATCCCCGACTCGGATATCCCGTGATGCTGGTGATGATGTGAGCGTCCCCACGCCCGAGCCGATTCGGGTCACTGTGCCGATGATTTCGTGGCCGACTACGCAGGGGTAGTCTGATAGGCCCCAGCCTGAGCGAAGCGTGTGGATGTCTGTTCCGCATATGCCGCAGTGGGAAATTGCGACTTCGATGTCGGTTTCTGCGAATGGTTTGGGGTTGAACGTTGTGAACGTTAGGGGGCTTGTCGCATTGTGCGCGACCCAGCCTTTGAATACGTCTGGCGTTGTTGATGAGGACATCGTTTGAAGGTATGTTTGGGGACTTAGGGTAAGAGAAGCTTTGGATGCCGTTCTGCTAATTATTAAGACCTCTATGGTTGCTTACGCCGGTGCAGTTGGCCGTATGTGTCGTTGAACTAATCGACTTGTTGATAATGACAGGTAGTGGTTTGATGTTCAGCTAACGGTCGAATGCGATCACAGAAGCAGATAGATCTTTCACATGGTGTAGGGAGGGAAGTATACATACAGTACATCAACTAAAAGGAGCGTCGGCTACTAAGTGGAGGTCAAGTCCAAGGGTGGGCCGAATCAGGAGTTGCCGAGGTTGCGGGATTTCCCCATGAACACTGTACGTAGATCACAGCATGTCAATCCAATCCATTAGATGTATTATGATTAAACGAGTACTAGTGTTTGATGGTAGAAGAATTCCCATACGCCAGATCAGGTCAGGTCAGGTCGTGACGATCGTACAGCTAACAGGCAGCAAGCAGAGAGTATATACACTAGAGGGTATCAAACAAATCATATCCTAAACACATTGGCTTACAATAGCTTGTTTACCGGGTTGCCATCCCCATCAGCTCGCCGAGCTCATCATGGGTCAGAGTGCTTCTTCGTCGATCCTGGCTTCCTTTGGAATCTTTTGCTGCGCGGCCTCTCTTACGGCTCTCGCCTTCTTTGCGGGCTTGTTCTGCAGCGCGGGCTTCGCTTTCGGCGGCAGCTAGTTTCTGTGAGACACTCATACGAGTCTGGGAACTAGGACCTTGTTCCTTTGTCAGACCTGGCTTTCTCGGCTCACGTGGTCTGCTACTCTGGCTGGTTGCCTGACACCACGTCTTGGTCTCCGGTCTCCTTCTCGAGGATCTGCGCGTCACTGTCTCAGACTGATGTGCTTTTATTGGCAACGTATCATCTTCACCGCTGGGTTCACAGGGTGACCCTTGAAGCCCGGGTGTAAAAGACACCTTTCGTGGCAATCGTGCAGGTCGAACATTGTCGTTTCGTTCTTTCAGCGCACGGTCGGCACTCTTCTGTGACCTTTCCTCGCGTGTCGGTGGCTGTGTTTCAGTACGAGTTAGGGGCGGTTCGACACTCTCCTGGGTGGGCTTATCTGCGGCTTCTTCTTCCTCTTCAGCCTCTTGATCCTCATAAATCGGTGATTTGATCTGCGTCTCTTCCTCATCGGCCGTTCCAAGATCATGAGCCGAGTCTACGCTAAGGTCGAGTCTCATTCCCATGCGCAACTCCTCCGCTTGCACTGAACCACCACCATCGGCGATTCGTTTATGCCACCCATCCATCATTGTAACAGCCTGTTTCCACCTGCTCTCCATCTTCTCCCAGCTTTCCCGTAGCCGCTTAATCTCTTCATCGCGCACCTCGACTTCTTCGAGCGGTACGAAAGAGGGGTTGGTAAGCAGTGTTCTCAGATGCTCAAGCACCCTATCCATCTGGTTCGACAGATCTTCGCAGGAAGTCGGAAACGTAGTCACAGGGCCGTGTGATGATTTCTGAGCTCCTACGCTTGCGCCGTCGGTGTACTCTTCACCTTCCCCATTCTGTGGCAAGCCTTGCAAGTCCTTCAAAGTTTGGACAGTGTTCCGCGCAAGCATGATCAGGGTATCATTCTCGTCGCTTAGATTCTGGCACAACTCCGTCAGGAAATCGTTCGTTTCCTGCTTGAGACTGTAGCCTGAGTCGTTAACGTTTTCGCCGCCCGACATATGCTTCGCTTTAGATGATCGATCGACTGCAGGGTTTATGTTAATGGTTGTTACACCTAGCCCTTCCCGTTTTCCTCTCTGGCGTTCAGCTAGGTGGGATTTCAGTCTTTGCATCTCCATGTCACGCTTGCGGATATCGTTGGCGCACTGAGCCCGAACTTGTTGAATCGTGGTTTTCATACGCTGCACTTGATCTTTCATTTGTCTCACTGTAGCGTCTGCACTCGCTGCGTTGGCTTTCTGGGCACGTTCTTGCGCTTCCGCTAAAGCGACCGATCGAGTCAATTCGGATGCCTTCGCCTTGAGTTTCTCCTGTAATGTAGTCTTAGCCTCTTGTAGACTCCTTCGATACCACGAAAACATACAATCTCCAGTGTCTTTTCAGAATCCTCCGCTCGCAAGGTCCGGATCGTAGTAGCTAGGTTCTCTCGGTGCTCGGCTTCGCGCTGTGCAGTCCTAGTAAGAATAGACCATATAAAAGGAGTAACTAGTCACTAGAGGCTCAACCTACATCTCTCCTCAAAACTAAGTCATTCACCAGGTTGATGACCCGCGCCATTGTAGCACCCGCGCCACCCTCCTCATTCTCCGGCTGGGCGAAATCGATGGGCCTGCCGCTCTTCAGCAGCCCCCGGGCAAGTAGCACATTATTGATATAGTTTGATGCCGCCTGCAAATTATGCGGCTCCATGCTTGCCTGCAAGCTGTCGGCCTGATCGTGAATGAACTGGCGGGGATCTGGGCGACTGATGTGAGAATTAAGAGCGTTTCGCAAAGAGGGCCCGACCGTTTTTTTCACTGGCAAGAATTCCGAATGGGGAAGAATGTAAACACCGCCATTCGTGCGGTGGGCGGCACGCACCATGTGTGCTGTCGCATGATCGTCAACACTTGGTTGCCAGGCAGCAATTCCTTGCCCTACAAACGTTGATCTACTGTACATTTCCAACTACACAGCCCAAAATGGACGACTTTTTAGTCCGTTACCTTTTGCTTGAATATTATTTCTGTTTTAGCGGCATTCTACACCACTACAAGAGCATATTATGCTTAGTTATCCCGATACCACAGCGTCGTTCCCTTATTTCTTAGGAGTTGTCTGGACTCTGTACAGCAAGTATGATAACTAGTCTGGGCAGTCACCGACGGTAGATTTGGAGGGAACAAATATATTACAAACCACAACATGTACTCAGATCCAAGCAAGGTCTGGTCTCCGTTCTATTCTTGCTCTTCTTTTTCTTTCTTCCCCCTGGTTCCCTTTTCTCTCCCATAATCTCATTCATAATGTATGTCTATTTGGCGAGCACATCACTCAATCACCGCCATTCACCTATCAGAAAGCCCATGGCTATGCTCTAAGTCAGTTGAGTCGGGCTTGTCTAAGCTTCATCGTCAATATCAAGGAAGTTTAGCAGTGTTTTCTTTTAGACGTCATGTGAGAGCAGCCATGTTCAGTGAGCAGATCCTCGAACTAGGATAACAGTCGTTGAGCCGTAGCCACAATCAAGTCCCAATATGATCTAGATTGCTTCCTCTCGATCCGTTCTCGGACTATGAGGATTTCTGTCAAGTGTACGAGGGTTCTACTAGTAGTAACTGATCTACTTCTATATACTTTTGGTTAGACATAGCGCCAGATGTCATCCCAATCGATTACATATCTACAAGCGGTTGTTTTCATGACTAAAAGAGTCTAATAAAAATATACGGAGTATTTGAATCAAAAATAATGGATCCTGGAAGATTTGAGGTTAGAATACCATGTTATTGCCCCTAACCAGACTGTGTCTAAGTAGGGCAAAGGAAACAGTGGCATTACCTTTGTCGAAGAGGTTAGCTGACAACTGAATCTGCCCTTCTAGACCGACCGATGACGGCTTACTAGAGAAAGGATGCAGAAGACATGCGTTCGCGCCAAGTTGTGTCTATTGGTGAATTTGTCACTCTATCCATCTTCTACTACGAACACTGTCAACCACATAGGCATCCTGATAGGAGGTATGTACAGAGTACATATAGCTCACAACGTATTGCCGTGCCACTATACATCTCAACACAGAGAGTCATGGGTTCGAAAGCGATCATTGGCCCGAAGGCGTTTGGAATGGGTGTCAATATCTCTTAAGACCAATCGAATACGAGGTTTCATGCATGTGCAAGGCTACCCTAGTATAATAATGCAACTAACCAAGTTATACTTGAGGAGAAGAAGAAGAAGCCATCTATCAATAATTGATGATAGGATGGAGTAGATTCACGCTGGTTGCCTCAGTGGAGCCCCAGGCCCCACTCCTACCTTATTAGGCCTAGCGGGAAGTGCTTTGGTCTTTTTAGCAATTCCTAATTAAAGACATCACGTCCAGTCGCGTCGTTCTATCTCCTCACAGCATGGAGCCTTTATTGTAACCAAAGCATTGGCATGACGGGCTCTCAAGGTGAGTCTGAAACTCTAACCCACTTCTTAATTAAAGAGCCCGACGCTACTTACGGTGAGCTTAAATCTAACGGGGCTACAGGTATAGCGCGTGGCGAAGCAGCTGCGTTGCAACAGCGTGGCCAACAACTATACCAGGCGGACAGGTTTCAAGCTGCCCTGGACGCTTTCACGGAGGTATGGCGAGCCAATCTCATAACGGCCCCCAAGTCTGTCGAGTCTAACTAAAATAATTGATGCCTTAGGCATTAAACATGAAAGATGCCGATCATCTTGGTATACTTGATAATCGTGCTGCCACTTACACTAAACTCGGTCAATATGATCGGGCGCTCAAAGATGCGAGGCAAATGATCAAAAAAGACAAACAGGATGAGCGAGTAAGTAATTATCGTGAAATGAGCTCCGTACCCCGATGCTAATCTGGATCAGGGATATCTTCGCTGTGCGAAGAGTCTTTTCTTAGACGGCAAATATGACAAGGCTGTGGAAGTCTACGCATATGCGCTGAAGACTTTGCCTAGTAGTCACCCGCGTCGTGAGGTCAGTGCTACTTTTCAGTGGATATTGGACCTCATCGCTACAGCTTTGCTGACCCGCGTAGCTCGTAGAACGACTGCACAACAAGCTTCGAGATAAAATGGCTGCTAAATGTCGTGACCCCTTCAGTATACTTCCTTTGGAAATAGCAGCCATGGTGTTAAATCATTTCGACTTTAAGCAGATTGTGTATGTGGCTCAGGTGGCCCGCTTATATCCCCTTCTAACTGTCATCTCTAAGGGCCATCCTCCGCGTGTCAAAACAATGGAACAACTTCCTCTCCTCAATGAGATACTTATGGATGCGAGTTGACCTGTCCGGCGCTCGGTGCAAAATCCATTGGTTCTCGGTCCGGGCTTATATCCGACGGTCTAAATCTATGCTAACCCATGCCATTGTAAAGAATTTATCTGCTGGCTCCTCAGAAAGAGTCCTTGGATTCTTGAGCAGATGTCCAAAATTGGAATACTTGGAAGTATGGACGCCATTTGCCTGTCAGGCCTTTTACGATATGTTCAAAGGCTCTAAACGCATGAAAACACTGGTAATATCAGGACAGATGCCGGTACCACAAGAATACCTTGCGAAATTCCTTGCAAGCTTGCCTCTCCTTGAGTACATAAAGATACACAAATCCCGAACTTCGCTATCATCAAAGGTGCAATGGCCCCCAGAACTCCCCCATTTACGGAGCATAATTCTTGGCACAACAGAAGGATCATGGTTAAATGGGCATACATCTGCCCTACATATCCCTCGTAAACAAGTACGGTACCCCTATTGTCCACCCTTTTTGCGCCATGATCTCACTGACCTTGCAGCCTTCAATCCCCTATTCCATCGCCAACCTCGAAGAGCTGTGCCTCAACTCGGATCCTGATGTCTTTTTCCCTTACCCTCCCTCTTTCAATCCATTAGATCTCACGCGGCTACGACGACTGGATCTCAGCGGCATATACATCAGTGACGAATTTGCTCTGCCCCCTAGCCTTGAATACCTGCGCATATGCGGGGGTGCCGCAACTGATGAATTTCCGTTTTCTAATCAACGCCCCGTTGAGTTTCACAAACTCAGCACCATCATGTTTGTTGATGTGCCTTGGGTCTCGAACAATACCATGCTCATCTTTCTTTTGGAAGCCAAAGCCCCCTTAAAAGTGCTCCATGTTGAGAGCTGTTTCCGAATACGTGGGACTGCATTTTGGGATAGTCTATGCGAACATGCCAATGAGTTAACAGAACTTAATGTTTCCAGTGTTCTTGGTATCAATGATACCTTTTCGAGCCGGATTATTGAGGAGATGTCGGCTTTGAAAGTCATAAATGTGTCTTACACTGACATAACTGGCATTTCTATTAAAAAGTTTGCCGATGCGCGAGCCTCTAAGGCCAATGTGATGAAGGTCGAGCGAATTTACGCAAAAGGCTGCGAACATGTTTCATCGGACGCTGTCGCATATGGTCGGACAAGTGGCATTGAGATAATCATTTGATTTGACGAGAGATCAAGACTGCTACAAGACATATCACCTCAAAACATAAAGTTGTTCTGGCGACAGCTTGTTCTCAACCAGGCAGGCCTATTCTACGCAATCGAGCGCTTTTTTTTAAAAAAAAAACCGTAGAGACTAGATTTCCCGACGATTGATGACTAGACATGCTACAGATCGCCATACAATAGCATACAAAACGTAATAATATGACCTTGTAGCGATACAAGGTTTGACTAACGGGCACATTTTTGTTTACAGATCACAAAGCGAAATCGCCTTTCTTTTCTTTGAAATATTCCAAATTCTAGGTCATTTGCATGTCAAGAAATATCAAAAGCAATCACTGCCGATCAATAACCATTTCCTCTCTCCTTACACCACTTCTCGACCTCCTTGGCCAACTTATCCTTCTGGTCACGGACCATCTCTATCATAGGCTCAACCTGCTTCTGGAAAGAAGCATCATATCCAGTCAAGCCATTGGCCACGTTCTCCGAGTCCTTCTGCGGAGCAAGATAAGTATCGTAAATTACAATCATCATATCCATAACAGCAGAGAGCTGATTAGGGAGCCACTGTAACTATCTATTAGCCATTCGTCTATCCCTATACTCGAGTAGCACCAAAGGTAGAACATACCGTAACAATAGGACTACCACCGGTAGCGGTGGGATGCGGCGTACGCCGAATGATATACTCACGGGCGAACAGCCAATGACGCCAGCGGAAGCTCCGGACGTGGTTCAATGTCTTCAAGAAGAGAATAGCAGTCTCGGTATCCTTGACAACGAAGTCGCGGACGCCCACCTCTGCTGCCTTGGAGTTCATGTAGGCGAGGAACTCGCGATGAGGGAGGGGTCGGTAGGCGCGGAATTCGTGTAGAATCTTGGTGAGCGGCGTGGAAGGCATAGGGATTTGGCAGAGGTGGTCAAGGAGGGGGATCTAGTTGAGTTAATTTGGGCTTCGATAGGCTAGGGTGTGAAGGGGGTTACAGGTGACATACAATGCTGTCGTTAGCGCCACTTTCGCCACGGAAGTTGAGTGGCTTGTTGTCTAGGACGCCTTCATAGACTACACCGTTGGGGAACATGGACTGGTTGGTGATGCCAAAGATGAATACCCGGAAGGAGAGGTATTCGCTGGGTTTGGAGTTGGCCCACATATCTGGGAATGCGTTAGATTAGGGTGTGCGTGGTCTACGTGAAATATCATGGGGGGCGCTTACCTTCCATGCAAGCTTCGATCTTCTCCATGGCGGTAAGGATCTCTCTGAAGCCGTCGTTGACTTCGGTTCGAGAACCGCCTTGTTCAATGGTGTCGACTACCCGGAGAGCTCCGCTGATTAGGCCACCGGACTCCTTGACCATGTCGATATGGGTCAAGATAAATCCAGCCTCAGAAGACTTGGGGTTAAGGCCACGCTCGAAGGCTCGGACCAGACGGAGGTTGTCATAGATTAGACCCTTTGCAGGATCGGCAAGGGTGTAGTTAAAAAGAGAGTATGCGGCAGCATAGGACATAAAGGGTGGGATGTCCAACCTAATGAGGATCAGTTAGTATGACCTTACGTGTAGTATATAGTTTCAGTAAACCCCCTAATAGCTAGTGGTGTAACATACAGCTGAGCACAGCGATACATAGGGCAAGCAATAGCCCTAGGAAGCACGTCGCGTCCCAGACCATAACCTTGGTCAGGTGTCTTGCACCAGCTCTCCCAGCATGGCTCAAGTAGGTATGAAGATGCGAGAAAAGAGTAGTCCCGGAACACAGCAGTGACAGCATATAAGTCTGGGGAGCCATCAGCAGTGACCAGCTTGTCGACTTCGGCGGTCAGGTCAGGAAGCTCCGCCAGGACAGCAGGACCCAGTTCATAGGTGGCGAGGAGACCAGGGGTACCATCTGCCTTCTCCACAGGGAGACGCTCAAGCAAGGACATTAAGGGTTGAAAAACGTCAGGCAGCCGGGTAGGGGACATGATGAAGGGTAAGAAGCCAGTAGAGGTAGTGATAGTGAAGGGGTCCAAGGACTTAGGCAAAGTCGCCGGGTCATCGTGGATATGGGGGAAGCGCTTCACAGTGGTGGAAGACGTTGGAGGGGCCTTAATTTGTGTCATCTTGGAAGAAGTAGGAAGAAACCTAAGAGGACTTGTGTGTGTACGAAGATGATGAAGTGAAGAGAAGATAGGAAGTCGCTTTTAAAGGCACAGAACCAACCCAAAGAACAAGTAAGAATAACAAAGGAAAAGGGAACCCCTAACAAGATGCTCGCAACCTATTGTGACCTGGTAAGCAAGGATGAGTGAATGAGATTTGGGCGGGAAAGGAGGCGATTCTTATAACATCCAGAGGCCGGTATCAATTCCGGCCTCGATGGCACTATTACCAAAAGGATGTGAAAAACGCGTGGAGACCTGTTTCTGGCCCGTATTGCCGTGATAACATGACTGATAAGCATTGTGAGTTGGGATATTGAGGTTTCCTTGTAATATCTGATGAGAACACCACCCCTTCTGTCTCTATCTTCATTCTTGAAGGCATATACAATGGAGCTATATAGATTCTTGGCATAAAGGGCAAGGCAGGATCACGGGGACACGCTAGGCCCAAAATAGCAGTGTATAAACTCTACGACAATGACAACTTCTCTTGCCCTAAGTGCCTGCAAGCCTCTCAAATAGTTATATTGATCTATAGTGTACTTCAGCCAGTCATTGCTTATCTGAGACTGCTCAGAACAAAGCATTTCCCTTCTGTACTTGCTGTGAACGCAAGTGCATAGTGAATTGTCCACTCTATATTTCACCCTCTGCCAAGAACATTTTGCTCCACATAGACCCATTCATTCGCCAGGAAGTCCGGATCAAGGCCAAATTAGCCTTTGTTAGTGGCATGAGGCCGGAATTCGGCCGGCCTCCGATAATAGCCGACCATCCTTTATCTATGGTCTTCTGTATACAGTTGCAACACTTTGTACTACATTAGAGTGAAGCCATTCAAGTGTTTAATGTCGGCATAGGGAGGCATCAAGCCACATGACAGTGTCGCTTTATCTATCATTGTTTCTATATAAGCGATTGGGCTGTTTCGTCTATCCTCTTTTTAAAATCACCTGTCAAATAAATTGGACTTTGATGTATGGCCGCACTTAAAATGAGGCCCATATAGGTCTCTAGGCAACTAAACCCGTCACAATTTGGAGCTTCATCATATTTTTAATCCCCTAATCTATTGTCTAGCTGCACTAGTTACATTTGAAATGTAAAGTTGTACTATAGTGCTCCGTGCATCTAAGGGTTGTTAAAACTGCAATGGAAATTGCA